TATGAAGGCTAAAAACAAATCGAATGCAGTTATTGAGAAGACGGTCATATTTGTTGAGTAGATCTGCATTCAGATTAGAATAGCGTACATCACCATAATCGATCAAGGGAAGAATTAAGGACTGCACAAGTAAAACTTTAGTTTTGGATGGAAGAAATTTGCGTAGGCGGTAGAGACTTCGCAAAATACCGGTTACTTTTTGACTGACATGATTCGCTTAAGCATGCCAGCTTAAGTTGGTGTCGATATGTAACCCAAGATCTTTTACCGCTGAGCTTGGTTGGATTACGGTGCCGTTGAATACAATTGGAGGTAAACCATTTGTTTGTACCTTGTTAAGCATTCGACGACTACCAATAATTATTGCTTGACATTTAGCGGGATTAACAAAGAGACCAAATCTATTGGCCCACGATTTTATATGCTCTAGATCTCTGTTAATCCTACCCACTGCTATAGATAAGCAATCGACATCGGCCTGCGAATAAAGTTGTAAGTCATCGGCGTATAGGTGATACGAGCATTGAAGATTTTGAGTGATAAGATTGATAAATAGAGAAAATAACATAGGAGATAAAATTCCGCCTTGAGGCACACCAGCAATTAAGTCATTCCAACGAGAAGATTTATCATTTATGCGAACTAACTGCTGACGCCCTCGAAGATAACTTGAAAACCAATCCAGCGCTGTGGGTGAGATCATAGAATAGGATAGGATGGAAAGAAGAATGTCGTGACTAATGACATTAAATGCGTTAGAGAAATCCACTAAAACCAACACTGTGATTTTACTGGCCTCCATTCCCGCCCTAATATCACTAGTGACTTTAAGTAGCGCGGAAATTGTACTATGCCCAGGCCTGAAGCCAGATTGAAAAGGGCTTAAGAGGTTGTTGTTGAAGACAAACCGAGATAGTTGTTTGTGTACACAAGCTTCAAGTACTTTTGATAGAAAGGGAAGGATGGAAATAGGTCTGAAATGCTGGGGCAAGGAAGGATTTGCAATCTTAGGCAAGGGAAGAACATAAGCTTTGCGCCAAAGTAAGGGATAGACTCCAGAAATAAGGGATGAATTAATAATATGGGATATAATAGGAAGGAGGTGATCCAGGATATATACAATCATGAGGCGGCTCACTTGATCACAACCTACCGCATTCGATTTGATAGAAAGGATAATCTTCTTGACCTCATCCACAGCAACTGGAGAAAAATTAAAGGGGTCAATATTAGGACGAGGTAAGTTCTTTAATTCCTCGATAGTGCGAAGCTTGATTTGAATATCGATTGGTGTATGCAACACAAAGTAACGATTGATATCATCCAGATCCATTGAACTCCTATAATCATACTGTGATTTTTTGCCGATTCCGATATTTCCAAGGAACTTCCAGATATCAGCGGGTGAAGAAGAAACTATGTTATCAAGGATATAACGGCGTTTAGCATCCCGTATCATCTGGTTACCTTATACAGTGTCCAATTGTCAACACAGCGAAACTTTTTGTACTTACGAAAAGCCCTATCCCTACTTCTCATCGCCATACGTATGCCTGTTGTAATCCATGGTGCTGGTGGACGCTTAAGTTTGACGGTTTTAATAGGGGCATTGTATAGTCTGATAACGGCACTATTAAATAAACTGACTTTTTCGTCCACCGTGTCGGCGGCAATCACATTATTCCACCTTTTTTTTTTTTATGCGAAAAGTTGCCAAACGAGCAGACGGGTCACCTGATGTTAAGTGAATACCGCCGCCCATGGACACCTGCCACACCCGAGGGTTACAGATGCGTTGACAACCTTTTTAAAATTGGGCTCCGGCACTCACCAGACGAAACGCGAAAGTATTTATCATACTTCCACTTTACGCTGGTCTTCTGTGAGGTCGTGGTACTTACCCGGACGGGCCTGCCCATTCGTGCCACAGCCGAGGCTGCTGCGTGGCCCTACCACCTTAAATTTGAGGCATCTTTACGAAGTCTTCCTATGTCCATACGAGCAAAAGAACGGATATTGAGGGTCTTAGGAATAGGTTTTGGTGGTTTAAGGAAGTAAGAGAGGTAAATAAGGTCATGGTGGGAGAAAGCCGGTGCGGGATACTGACCATAAATGGAAGCAAGGGAAGGAGATGAAGTAAGGATAAGGTCGAGCCAAGTGTCTTCGACATTCAAATTGTGGTGAGTGGCGTTTAAAGGCAGAATGTGAAGGCTAGCAGACTCGACTATAGGAAGGAATTTAGAGAAACGAGGTGAAGGGACCAAGAGATCGGTGTTAAAATCGCCCATAATGATGTGATGTATGTAATCCGATCCTAAAGATTCCAGAATTGTTTCAAAACTGGAGAAGTAATCGACAGACGGTGGGCAGTAGACCACACCAAGAACGCATTTAACTCCTTTTATGCAAACTTCAAGAAAAATAAATTCCGAAGATGAGGGATAAGTTGATGTAGCTAAAATTTTGTATTGAAAATAACTTCGGAGATATATAGCAACACCACCACCTCTCTTGTCGATTCTATCGTTACGTATTAGGGTGAAGTCGGGAATGTGAAGTTGACAGGAGAGGGGGTTTGAACCAACTTTCTGAAATCAGAATGGCATGAACGTTAGCTTTAAAGAAAACCTCATACAGGTCACTATAGTGACTTGCCACGCTTTGTGCGTTAATGTGGCATACGTTAAACGTTAAGTTCGACTGTTGAAAGGTGTTTTGCACGAGGTCACTAAGCGAACCCGTTACGGAACAGAAACTATCATCAGATGACAAATTATCATTCTCGGAAGCAGAATAAAACGAATCATCGTTATTTGAACTCATTAAATAAAAATAATGTAAATAGATATAAATTAAAATAAGTAAAGATTATGGAAATATGAATAAAACTATAGAAATAAATAACATTAAAATATAAATAGTAATAAGAAATTGCAAAATGTTATGTAATGCTGCTCCCTGCGCCACCCACCAGCTGTCACACTGAATATAAAATATACAACTGAAAATAAACTATACAACTAGTTTAACTTGTAAAAAAAAATATATGAGCTAATAAACGTCATCTTTCGCAGTTAATGATTGTGACTTGTTAATCGACTTGTGCACAATATAAGGCAAAAAAAAGATAATACAACACACATAAACTTGTAAGGAATTACTTGTAAATTCAAATAAAAACACTGAGAAAGCGAAAAGTTTTAGTCAAGAAAGTAACTGACTGACTAATAGACAACTTACTTGTTAGTATGTGTCTACCGCCAATGGATAGTCCTCGGTAACCTCCGACTTAACTTACCGACGAAATACTAAAGTATTTTACTCCTATTATTACTACTAGTTATTCTTTCCAAGAAGGGTTGATGTCAGGAAGGCGGCCCGTAAAGAACCTAATACCATTAACAACATGATGAAAAGGTGGGATAAGAGCAGTAGAATGAAAAAAGATGACTTTGGTTTTTTAATTAATACACCGTTCTTCTGAGTGAGATCTCGCATCAGATGCATCCACGCAACAGGAAAAGGTTACGGTTAAGTTGATCACATTTTAAGATACGAAATTAACTTCAAATATAAAAATATATCTCTAAAAAAATCGTACTAATAATATCTTGTCCGTGTTTTTCTGTATCCTGTCGTTAGAATAAACAGGCACTTTTCGCGTCGTTTACACCCATACATTTATTAGAAGCTTTCATCGCCAAATGGAGTGTAAACGCTGAATGCGTAGACTTGAATTTGGAGTTCGTTTATCACGATGCAGCACGTTTAGCACGATTCGCAACAAACATCAATAATTCGATTTGAAAAAACATATGTGAAGTCCACCAGACCGCTACTACGCCCTAATTACCCTCTTTACAGAGAAAGCTTTTACCAGTTACCTTTTGCTTTGAGACATATATAGGCTTTGTTACTTTACTATACTAAATTATAATCATAATATACTTCGAATGTATTAATTGACAAAAAACATTTACAATATTCATCCTAACTAAATTACATGTTATCAAATAAACCTAGTCCACACAGCATGGTGTCAAGAAAGCTACTAACCTTGAGCAATAAAAAACCAGTCGCCATGTCACCAGCCGCCATGTCACCAGCCGCCATGTCACCAGCCGCCATGTCACCAGCCGCCATGTCACCAGCCGCGGCGTCTAGGACGTAAACCTTTCAAAAATTTAGATGATGACAGCATATTACGAACAAAGAAAGTCATATTTACGCCACTTACTTCAGCTGCTTCTGATGCCACCCGACCGAAATACCCCATGGATGACAGGCAGCCAGTGTCTACACGAGTAGCGTCTCAAACAAAGGGCATTTTCTCTCTCCCAAGGGATCAAATTCAAGCCGTTCGGGTCCCTTACCGTCGTTGCGGGAAATGCCACAGGACTTTAAAAATAGAAAGAATGTTGATGGAAACAAGAGCCCTGTGGATGACGTTGTTCACGGAACCAGTGAGGGAAATGGGGCCAGCATTTTGTTTTGACAAGGAAGCCCGTGGTGGACCACATTTATCTACATTGATACCATAAAAATAATCATAATGACAATAATATTTCAAGACATATTTAAAAATCTAGTCCCAAATTAAGCAAAGGTCATTAACATACTTAAACAAACTTTTATTTTGTAAATAAATACAAATTGTAGATAAACAATCACCAAAATATAAGAAAAACACTATATACATACAGACGAAATACATGAATATCGTTTACTCTGATAACGTGCAATATTCTCAAAAAAATTATCTTATCCCTCCAGATTTGATATGACTAATTCCTTAATACAGATACAAAATGCAAAATGTTTATTACAATAACATATTTCTTTTACAGTTAATAAATATTTGTGTAGTGTGTTTGTTTGTGTGTGTGTGTGTGTGTGTGTGTGTGTGTGTGTGTTAACTAAGCATCAACTCAATTTCAGTGTAATTTTTAGCTTTTAGTCATTCCATTACTGCCTAATGCCTACGTTTTTTTAAATAACAGATGGCACCACCATTATCGAGTCGATGGCAATTCTACAGTACTTGGAAGATACACGCCCGGAACCTACGTTGATGCCCAACACTCCGCTTCTTAGGGCCCGTATGCGAGAGATTTGCGAAGTTAGTTTTCGATATACGTCTATATTATTTTACAGTTAGGCATCACTTTATATATAATCCTCCTAATTATTTTAATAAATTACAAAGACCCGTTTAGACGCGAAATTACCACTATAAAATAAAAGTAACTACAAAGAAATAAAAATGTAAGAATTATCAATTAAAGATTTGGTAATTATTTTATTGCGGTTCATTCCGTCAATTTTGCATCAGCTTTTTTATTAGTAAAACATCTTGACATTGCAAGGAATAAAAATCTGTTGTAAAGAAGAACTATTTAGATAAAGCTGTACAGGGGACTATTCATTGTTTTTTAAATATATTGTTTTGGAATAATTAAAGATTTTCTTACAGTCGTAACAATAATATTTAAAAATCATCAAATAGAAACCTTCCTTAATTCTTAAAGAGTATCCGATTGTTTTTCTGTTTTTTTGACGTAACAGTTAGCTTAAATCGCCTTTCTTCAAATTCTTTTTTAGTAAATACCATCGTCACTAATTTTATTTAAAACTTTTTTGAATATTTTGGTTTCCTTCTTTAGACTATCGTCTCTGGCATACAACCGTTGCAAAATGTGGGTCTTCGAAGTCGTCTGGGATCAAAGGAGCAATTCCAGAGTTTCACGAAATACTGGACGGAGCGAGGATTGCAAACAGTTGAAGACCAGCTAAAGTCCACATCCGGCCACTACTGCGTCGGAGATCAAATAACAATGGCCGATCTGTGCCTGGTTCCACAGGTGTACAATGCTATTAATAGGTAAAATCTATTTTTACTCATGTTTGTTGAACTTTGGAAGCAATATGAAAATATATCTATATAGGTAAATTGTAAAGCCACATACATACCTATGTTTGAAATTGTAATTATTCTATGAAAGTATTAATATACAAAAATATGCATTAGTTTTTTCGATTTCTTTTAATAATATTCAAATCTTGATCGTGATAATCATTCTGTTTTGTGTACACTTTTAAGTCTCCATGACGTATACTCGTTTAGTAGAGTATGAATTTAAAGCTCTTTTAAATATTACGTGCTAAAGTATAATTTTTTACATATTTTTTTTAGATCAAACATTTATTCTTGAATTAAGAAATTATCCTGTTTACATATGTGATGAAATTATCATGTATACATACAGCGTGTCGCTACTGAGGTGACCATAAATCAATACACATTTAGAGGATGACTTATTAAAATTGTATTAATCATTTAAATTCCTTAAATATCAATATTTACCGAGTTAGTGAATTTTCCAAAACAAACAATTTTAGAACACCCTTACGTATAAAACTGTAACGTAAAGTTCATTTGTAAAGGTCACAAAGCTTAAATATCAATGGGTTGAATGAATTTGAAAGGGATAAAACCTACTATTAGGAGATATTTGTAATCCGACGCTGCGGCAACGAATGAAAAAGTTTCTTAATGTATGAAGCAGTCAGTTGTAGTTGTATACGATGTTACAAATTTTGTTTCTTTTTTATTTTGTTTGAAAAATAATTTCTTTTAATTATGGATTTTTTTAAAGTTTTATATTTTTTTATGCTTATTGGCAAGTAGCTTTAGATGTGTGTTCATTTATTGTCACAGTTGTAACGACACGCTGTATATTTATATCATAATACATTTATATTATTCTTGAATTAAGATTTATATTATTATTTATTAGCACGGGTTGTAATAACAAAAATTGTGTAAAGTAACAGAGCGAGAACAATCAGGTAAACAAATCTCAACTTAAATAGCTAGTACAATAGAGATTAAGGTTTCTATTTTTAAATACGTTTTGTCAGGTTTACACAAGCAGCCTGTGGGTCAGCATATTAATATAATAGTGCTTTCAAGGCATTGTTGGGCTCCCTTGTGTCTGCAGCAACGCAAGAATGAGCAAGGCGCGACGAGCAATGATTTATACGGAATATTGCGTAAAAAAATAGGTTTAGATGTATTACAAATATAGCGGTTTAAGTTCTTTTGTGTACGGACCCCTTTGGTCTAAGCAATCTGAAGTAAAGCCATTGTTTTTATTACAAAAATAAAATTATTTCTCCGGAATGCTGAGCGATCAGTGTCAATAACATTTTTTCTTAAGAAAGCATCAACTTAATCGCAATACTGTAGCATGGGAAATTCGATTATACGATATCCTCTGAGGGTTTCTTTGAGAACGCCGCACTTCAAGAGATATGCTGTTAATGTAATAAACGTTCCTCGCGTCCTCGAGGGAAATTCGGGCAACGAATTTTATTAATACGACTATACGTGGGTTCGTAAGACGTCGTGCGCTGTCGATGCAAGGGGTCTCGAGCTACTTATGAGGGATGCCTGAATAACTTCCCAAAATTGTTGTAGCGCTCCCATATTTCATTCCTACCTTCATTTCAACCCTCACAATAGTGAGCCTGAGCAACATATGTAGATCGTATGTGAAAAGTTACACAGCGCAAGGCATGTTATCATTTTAGTTTTAGATGAAATTATGATGGTGATAATAGATTTGTACTCGTATCGTAATCGAAAATACTAAAACTAAATACATCAGAACATAAAAATCAAAAACTGCTTGATCTACTCAGATCAATATTTAGTTGATGACGCTTTTTAATATCTTTAACAGGTTCAATCTGGACTTGAAGCAGCACCCAACCATTCATAAGCTGTTTGAAAATTTGCTGAAGGAAGACATCTTCTTGAAGACACACCCCGAAAATATTAAACACAGAATGATTAAAAATGTTGAATAAAATTAAGCATTTACCTAAGTCGTATTATTTTTGTGTTCCTATTTATGGTACGGTTATATCGCAAATACCTCCTTTTGCCTTTAAAGGTAACATTCTTGATGTTTTTCTACCCTTGCCCTTGCATCTTAGTTTAGTAACGGCCAATTCAAACTTTATTTAAAATATCGGCATAATAGTTAAACGGCATTGAAAACTTGATACGGCTGAACAAATAGGGAACGGGCTCGAACTATCATTAGATTTAAATTTAAAAAAATCTTTATAAGGAGTAATAGTAGCAAATAATAAATCAGTTCTCTGTTATACTTCTAATTCATTTAATAACCAAAACCATCCGAAATTACTGTGTATGAACGGGGTACACAAAAATATGCATATTCAACGAAACGAATAACCAGTTTACTGGTTCTTCCTTAAACATTTATGTTTATTCGACTGGCGCAAACTAAATCGTTTTAGGTCCGTTAGTCAGTGTGCCAAGGTTGACCTAGTTTAGGAAACTACGTGCTTAACAGTTTAGAGCTTTGTAACTGTAATTGATTCAGCCAACACGGGCGATTTGTAGGCGATAGGGGCTAATGATCCAAGTTAAACCATCCACACCACTTGCACACTGCCCCCTTATCAGATTGAACAAATTAATTCGCACTGTTAACTATGGTAGCTCCATTTGACAGATACAATTAAGCTCTATAATCAGATGTGCTTCGCTACAAGTTTAGGGTCGAAGTAGCACAAATTTCTTGCAGAATTAGGTCATGTTGAACGTTAACTACCGTATGAAAGACACAAAATAAATACATTCGTTTCTCATGATCGAGCATCACAAATTAGTGTAACGTTCGAGGGTGTACGCGAGCCGATCTTTTTTGTAGTAATGTAGAGGATAGTTATGTTTATGGTTGTCTTAAAACATTATCCTAGGGAACAACAAGAATTGGTTCACCATTATTACTATTATTAAATACCTTACGAAATAGGAAAAACTAAAAAAAAATCCAGGAAAAAAATGGTGGCCGTTTACAATGATTTCATTCCTTCGTTTTCACCATTCAGAGATACTTGTAATCGAATATGCTTCGATAAAAATCGATTCGTTAACAGAGATAATCAAGCTATCCTATTGAAGCTATGGTATTGAATGTATGTACAAATGTACCCAACATTCATACATACATTCCAATACTTCATGATTTTTGAACCTCTGAAAAATCAATGCAAGATAGATGTGTAATCCACTGTGTGCCACGACTTCTCACAACACCTCACCACAGAAAAAATAACGACATTTAATTCGTGCTGAATGTCGTAATTTTTATGTGAGAAAGTGGCAAACGAGCTGAAGGTTCACCTGATGTTAAGTGAGACCCGACGCCAACGGACATTTGCAACACCCACAGTATTTTAAATGCGTTCCCACATTTAAAAAAAGTGGACCCCGGCTACCTCACTCATTAGACGAAACGCAGAAGTGTGCAGAGTCATTGCGATCAGAACACAGAACCTATATTAACTGTGGCAGGGCCACGCAACGGTTTAAATTATACTATATGAAAGCATGAAAATACTTCGATAAGTTGTTAATTATAAAAATTTACTTATGAATTGAGAGTAATGCAAATGATGTTCAACCAAGTATATAATCCAAAAAAAATTCAATATGTTTAAAATAGCGTTTTTAAATAACCGCTCAATCGCCGGTACTGTTTATTTAGACGTGAACTGTACATACGCGTGTTAATTTAAACTTTGAATGCGATACATTCTGCGTGACGTGCTCTCAATTAAAACGAATGTGTGGCTCGTAAAGATGCGTGGAATTGGACCTGACCAATAAAAGAACTCCGTTGTTGTCAACATTTTAAGGCGTAAATATAAAGGCACGTTTAATAAAATAATATTAAAATGTGTTAAAATACAATATTTCAAGTCTCCTAAATTGCTTCAACCTTGTATGTAATGACAGGTACACTATTGAAGTTTAACTTAAATTAAATTTAGATTGCAGATGACAAAATAGTGATTATTGCCATTTATGTTTTGTCAGTAAAAAGCAGTTTTTTTAATCGCATTACATGTTGTTTTTATATTATAACATGTTAAGTTAATCTTATTACAGATACATTGATTAGAATATGGACGAGAATATATAAAAGCAAAATAAATAAAAAAGTATGAGTGTACTTATGTACGCAAGTAAAATGTAATATTAGTACTTCCAACAAAACAAATCCAATGGGCGTAGTGGACAGTGACCCTGTCTCTTGCGGTGGCGTGCGTCCCATGCCTTCTACTGGAAAAATATTATGTGATGAACATATTGTTTTTATAGTGTCTCGGTGTTATATATCTATAAAATGTATTTATTTACTAAACAAAACCTGCGTTTAAGTATGTTTATCAGTCACCTAATATCTTATAGTAAGCTGTATAGTAGCTTATAGTAGCTTTTCTTAGTTTGCGACTAAATATTAACGTGGTGTAAAAATTTGTCCTGAAATATTTATTATTTATTTAGCGTAAGAAAAGAAAAATAATTAAAAATTTTATACCCTGTGCCAGTACTCTTTGTTTGTGAAAGAATTAAATACAATTGTTAACGGTTTTAATATAACTTATATACAGCGTGTCGTTACAACCGCGACAATAAATGACACACGTCGAACGCTACTTGCCAACAATCATAAAAAAAATATTAACGTTAAAAAAATCATAATTAAAAAAAATATTTTTCAAACTAATTAATTAAAAAAGAAACAAAATTTGTAACATCCTATACAACTACAACTGACTGATTCATACATTCAGAGATTTTTTCATTCGTTGCCACAGCGTCGGATTACAAGCTTCTCCTTCTAACAGTATGTATTGTCTCTTTTTAAATTCATTCAACCAATTCATATGCTTTGTGACCTTTACAAACGAACTTTACGTTATAGTTTTATACGTAAGGGTGTTCTAAAATGCCGAGTGCATTTTTTACCGTAAGAGAGCTTTTATAAAACATTAAAACATGTCATCGTATTCAACTGTTTCTCAAATGTTTCTCATCTCCGAGCAGTTATTGTTCTTCATTGCTTTGACACCAATGCAATCGACATGCTAATTTGCGAAGTGTTCTCGCGGCACGCAGTTGTTCAGCTCAGTAGTGTTCGCCTCCTGCAGGACTTCGACATGTCTCTGGAGCAACTATCCGTCGCTGAGGAAACGTCATCACTTTAACCTGTGACCGGAGTCGCTATAAGCGTTCGACGGAATGGGCCCCATTGTAAATAACATCTCGAAGGAAAATTTGCTCGGCCCGAGATGGCACTTCAAATGAAAGGACGCTTCATACTTGCGTTGTTTTTCATATTCAACACGGGGAAAGGGGACGGTGAGTGTGTTTTATTTATTCAGCCTAAACAGTTCTATTTTCGTGCACGTCGACGCGTGTCTTCGCATACTTTTTGATGGCACGGCTTTAAATGTTTTGGCGGCTAATTTTACAAGATCGATTTAATTTCACAAAATGCTGCATAATCGATAATTAAACTTAATAATAACTTACCAATGTGATTCCGCGGCAGCAGTATTTCATGAAACGGAATAACATTTAAATATTATGATGACATGATAAAATATGTAAAGTTTTTCAAAATGTTTCGGATTTTTATAAAAAATATTTTTCAAAAAACTAGCTGGAGCTTCCATTGGAGCACCTAAACGTATTATTTTGAATATAAATTTATAAAATACTTCAAACTTTAAATCAGCGTACTAACCGTAAGAAACCGTTTTAAAAACTTCGCTACTTACGAGTAATTGACTGTACGAAAACATTGTTCACAGACAACGTGGAATTTTTCGACGTCCTTTCCGTAATCCGCGATGTCGCACTGCCTGAAGGTGTGTCGAAAGTGCCAGGCAGATGCCAGTCTGCTTCCACCATCCCCGAGGATACTCGGCCTTCGCCCTGAATGAAAACGCCACTCTACACCAATTAGCCGCGGGCATGTTCTACAATACTTTTCCAGAAGACTTTTCCATCGTAGCTAGTATTCGTCTGCCAGGTAACGATTTATATATTCACCTCATTGTTTCAGAAGATAACTAAAGGTGCCTAGCATTGCTAATAAAAATGTAATAAAAACAATGTACATTAGACGTTAAGATTATCGTGCGGTAAGGTTATCGACGGCTTTGATTTGACGGCGACTGGGCGACTTACCCGGAAGAAAGAAATGTTTCCATACTTAACATAGTTTCGTTTTAAGTGCAGAGATAAGCACTAAAAGCACGAGTTAAATTTCAATAGCAAAAGTATATTTGTTGTAAAAGAAACAGAACTATGTGGCGCCGAGCATTGCTAAAAATGTAATGTGACATAATGTAACATGATATAAAGTTTTTTCGACAATTTCTCTTTTAACACAACAAAATTAATAATCAGTTATTGATTATAAGAACATAGTCATTTATCAGAAAGAATAACCAATACGAAAAACAAATGTATTTCCCCATACCATTAAGGCCTTGGCCCAAATAACCAACCCATAACGCAATGGCAACGTTAAGAGACGGGATTAATTAATTTAATGTTGAAATATGTAAATATATGTATAAATTGAACACAAATGATGAATACGCTTGAAACTGGGTCACTGATGTCTACTCCGATTGTCCCTAGTATGATTGATGATCATTATTAATTATACTCCCAAATATACTTTTAATAATTTTCAATTTGAAGTATCCGATTTGGTCGTAGGAAGCTTAGGAGCCTTATGTATATATTTAAGTTTCAGGATTCAGCTTAACCTTAAGGGCTTCAGCTTAACCTATAGTCAAGTATTATGTAAATGTGATCGAATTAGATACATATTATTATTTTTCTTGACAAAGAGCGATAATTTAAATTGCAAGCAAATTAGAAAAAAAAAATCGTGTTAATTGTAATTTTATCGTTTGGGACAACTATGGAGGTTTGTCATTCTCACTTATATAATGGGAATAACTTTGCGATCGATTGGGATCAAAGGTTACTATAAATCCTATACCGTTAAAAAGAGTGTTATGTTGAAATTGTATTAATACCAAAAATAAACTCTGGAATTACCGCAACTATTTAAAAAAATCTTATGATAATTAAACAGTGCCTTATTCCAAATGAACATAGCCTACATAGCGTATATAGGTACCTACTTATGCATAATATATTTGTTTCATGTAACTATGTAACATTTACAACCACCCAGGAACAAGTCGCCCTTTTTAAAAGCCTCTACGTTGTCTGTCTGCCTACGGCAAAGAGGCCAAGTTGTTGAAAAAAAAGTCAACAAAGGCAAATATCTATTTTCTCAGGATAACTTGCAGTAACCATTTTTATCTTTAAATGTTTGACAAAATATAAGAAAGTATCTGCATAGGATTTAAAACAAAAATGTTAATTATTATTTTCATGTATGTTATATATATATATCATGTATGTTATATATATATATATATATATATATATATATATATACATATTTAGAGATCTTTCAGGGTTCTGAAAAATATGAATAAAAGATATGTAATGAATATGTGAAATTTAAGTTTTCATTTACAACTTTCATCGTACGCACGAGGCTGACGTCTCGTCTTGACATGAAAGCTAATGCGCTTGGTTCGTCTATTGTGACATTTCAATTAGGCACGGATCAAAACCCACTGTTCGTGCTATATTCCGACGCGGGGGATGAGCAACTGCAGCTAGTCGTTGGGGAATTAGTGGAATTGTATTACGAGGACACACGGGGAGATCCGCCAGACAATGAACTATTAACTTATCGGGTTAACGTCGCCGACGGCAGGTAGGTAACATAGTCAAACACAACTTCCTATTCTATTGTCAAACTCACACTAAACACTCCTACTCCTACTTTTACTCCCTATTTTATTGTCAATAGTCAAATCTGTACTTCTGTTTGAAACCATTGGGCATTAAATACAGATGCCAATAAAAGCTGCCAATAAAATCGCTTTAACACAACATTTTCGTGTGATACAAAAGTAAACGTCAATTTCTCGGTACCACCTTATGGTTGACCGGTAGAAAATGTCAGCATTAAGTCCGCCTCTGTACTGTGTTTTGTGCATGAAGTTTAAAAATGAATAAATAAACGTTCTGCGAAGGAAAGCTGTTATAGAAAAACATAAAAACTTCTAGGTGGCATCGTATCGGGCTTAGCATAAAAGGGGATTCTGCTACTCTACTTGTAGACTGCGAGATAAGAGAATCACTTCCTCTGAACCGCAAACCGGGAAGCACATTCAATCTTGCCGGAGCACTCGTTGTTGGCGCCCAAGTTACACCGGACCAGTACTATGAGGTGAGTGTATCTTAATATTTCGACGTAAAGTATATTTCCATTTTAATATAACTGTTAATAAGTTAATAAATAAATATTTAACCAAACTAAGCAAAGCTTGTACAATGGATACTAGGTAACTGATAAAAATATTATAATAATATTATTTTTTCTTTTGTTAATAAATACATAGTAAAGTTATTTAAACACTAGAAAAACAGTATTATTATATGTAGAAGTTTGCTTTCCTTCTTTTTTTTACGCATATAATTGTATAATCTAAAATGTTGGTTATTATATATTTCTTATATTATAATTATGCACATATCTTATTTTATTTTATTTTTGTTCATATTCGTATTTCGTAATTTATAAATCCCTTGCTGCACCTACCATAAACTTTCTCTATATTCTAGGTTGACTGGTAGAGGGTGCCTTTGGGCATTATGTCCGCCCTTTGTTATCTTTTTTTCTTGAGGTTATCAATAAAGCATAAATAAATAAAAATAAATAAAATATAAAATCATCGGACAATATTTTTGCATTAGTAGGGATCGTAACCCACGCCCTCTGCTGCAAAAGACAGGTTCACTATCCACTACACCATCAGGGTCGTCAGAAATGCAAAAAAAAAAAACCGGCCAAGTGCGAGTCGGACTCGCGAACGAAGGAAGCAAGGTTTCATTATCTATAAAAACTGCAAAAAAAATCTTGTCTGATATATGGGAGCCCCACTAAATGTTTTTTTTTATTCTGATTTTTAGTATTTTTTGTTATAGCGGCAACAGAAGTACAACATCTGTCAAAATTTCAACTGTCTAACTACCACGGTTCATGAAATACAGCCTGGTACTGCCGGACAGACAGACAGACAGACAACGGAGTCTTAGTAATAGGGTTCCGTTTTGAAAATATTTTTAATGATGATAATATTTTATAAGCAGTTTAATATTGAAAGAACTTGTTAACCAATTATGCAATCTGCATTAGTAACGGATCAGTCTAGCTATACTGCACGCAAGTGTTAGATAAGTAATTCCACTCCTATCCGGTTATAATGTTTTATTTTTAACTCAATCAGTAGGTCTGTGTCTAACCACAAAGCCCATTAAACAAAATCGATGAGGGCATCGACTCCGCTTACCTACTTATTGTGCGTGGACTCCGGACAGCGAACAAAAACCGAATTCTTCGAATGCTCATTTTAACTGAATATACGTACAATTAACTTAAATAAATTGATTTTTTTAAGTTATACTTCTTTTGGGCGTAGGGAAAAGAAAAATGAAAAGAGTGAAAAAAATGAAAAGACTTAATACGATGCGAGATATAGTGAACGGAAATAGAATACCTAAAAGCTGGCGCAACACCTAAAAGCGACTTCGTGGTTACCATAGCAAGCAATAACAAGTTTTTGACGTTTACCTATAATTTCAAGTTACTCAATTAAACGGTTATCAATTGCATTAAATGCCTTTTTTTTCAGAAACTAGACTGTACTGGCACACAGGATAAAGTTTTGAGTTATTTTTCTTTTGTTACGTTAAACAAGTACAACTTCTTGCGTGCGTACAATACATTCATTAGTTCGCTGGTATCATGCAGTATTGTCACCTTATTCTAACCGTATTTTACAGGGCGACATAGAAGTCCTTCAATTTGCGGACAAACCGGACGTCGCGTACGACTTATGCATTAACATTGCCCCGGATTGTGACGGCTCGGTTTCACGATATGCGTATCCAATTTCTACACAGAACAATCATCTATTTGAAAACGAACTCAACGTAAATAGAAAATACACGTACTCTCCACCGACTGATTCAGATGTTGTTCATTTATCAACTGATGAAAATGAGCAAAAACCGTACGAGCATGATGACGGAAGCCGATCAGATGTCAACAATGAGTCGGACAGCCTGTGGGCCGCCGCATCTAGGGATCTTTCAACGTCAAGACCGTTTTGGCAGGGATCTGGTGTTTTTGCTCAGGTCGGGCAATTCGCTACAACGACGGAAACTGGTCAGTACATCGTTACTATTTTTTATGCCTAAACACGTGATCGTATTTTAATAAGAAGTTTACAGGCATCGAATAACAAAGCCGTGACTTTTGCCTCTACTGAAATAATAATGTACATCCGATGAAAATCGACCGGTATAATCGATAAAGCTACAAACACTAAAGTTTTATCCTCAGGCCCCAATGCTATGTCATCTAATTTAAAAAACGCTATTAATATCAGTAAGGTTCTTTCCTAGTTAGTAATTGTTGGTAGCTGAATTTCATTAATATTATACTTATTAACCTTTTTTGTCCTTAGATGAAAACAGTATCTTCGGAAGTTTCACCGACATTGATGAATTTAATTCAAACTCCTTAAACAATTTTGTTTCACCTACTGAAATAACAACTTTAACAACATCAAAGGTGAGTTTGAAAAATGTATAGTTTGTGTATTTATTAAAACATTTTAATTTTATTTGCATTCGTTATTCGTTACCTCATTAATGACATAGTCATTTATTATATTAATTATTTTCTGAAACGGATAATACTCTCATTGTTTGATACATTAAACTTAACTTTCAGGCAATACGACGGGACAATGTCGATGAGAATCTATTTACCACTGAGGGATCTTATGCGCCAATCACGACCACCGAAGATACGGACTGGCTAACTCACCCACCGGAAACTAACTTGGTGAGATTTTCACTGTTAATATATTTTCGAATCTTTATGCCATCTTTTCTGTCAACTTCGAATTGTGGGTAACTGAAATATAATGTGATGGCTCTTTTGAAGCAGCCGTTAAGCGAAATTCTTCAACACATCATTATGTTTTTGATTGCCCTACTGATAAAACATCATGATTCCGGTGTTTGAAAATTAAGTAATTTACTAGTCCTCCGTATGGCAAAAAGTAACAATATACTGTAAACTTTTCTGTAATCGATACCATCATTTCATTATTAAACAAACGACTTATTATTAAATTTACAGGGAAATTCCTCTATTGTTTACGACCCAACTGACAATTATTACGACTATGGCGGTACCGGCGTTTACTTGGGCCCACGTGGTTATCCGGGTCCACCTGGTCCACAAGGGCCCCGAGGACCAAAGGGCGAACCTGGTAGGCCGGGTGCAGAAGGGCAACAGGGTTTCACAGGGCCTCCTGGACACGTTTTTGTTGTACCAGTAAGTTTTTATAGTATATCATACTAGGTTATGGTATTATAATTGTTTTCGAATTAAAATTGTACCGATCGATAATGTTATTTCCAGTTACTTCAATCCGGCAACGATAAGGGGCCCGATGCTCAAGCGGAAGCGCTTAGACAAATGCTCACTCAGCACATGGTTTGTGTACTTTTTGTTTTCAATTATTTACAATGTTGAATGATGAAGGTATAATTTAAAATTAACTTTCATATTAAAGACTGCAATGAGAGGAGTTGATGGGCCAATGGGTCTGTCTGGGCCACCAGGTCCTGAAGGCGATATTGGACCTGAAGGAACAAAAGGAGAGCAGGGTGAACAAGGAGAACCGGTAAGTTGGAATCAAGTTTTTATCATAGTTTTAAGGTTTTTTGTCAATTAAGGTTTATTAAAGCTCTTATTAGGTATAAGACAATAGTTAAGTGAGAAATTACTACTGTGTCTACATAAAATGGTTGATTCCTTCAAAAGTAATGATGTGACAATTGCCGAAATAGTTTCAATTTACTATAATGTTCCTATTGCAATTTTAAAGGGTCCACCAGGGCCAAGGGGTCCTCAAGGACTACCAGGCCGAATAGGGAGACGTGGTCACGCAGGCAGAGATGGAGAAAGGGGGCCACCGGGCACGCCAGGACCTAAGGGCGAGCAAGGATACCCGGGACTTTCTGGGATGCCTGGAGATAAAGGAGAACGCGGCACGCCCGGTCTCCCGGGAGAAACTGGTGCCCCTGGTCAAGATGGACCGCAAGGTGACGACGGTCCTACAGGACCCGCGGGCTTATCTGGGGAACTGGTAAATAAATACACGATTTATCTCATATACAACCAATATTTTATTGCGGACATTTCTATCTGTCATCATTTAGTGGTAGATTTTTGTTGACGTTCAATAAGAGCTTAAGTTAGGCCTATATTGAATAAATATACTTTGACTTTGACTTTGACTTTGACTTGACATTTGGGCAATTATAAATTACTATATGAAGAATTGAAGTAGTACATTCATCTGTTAATTGTAGGGTCCTCGAGGTTTCATGGGACCCAGAGGGTTTCCAGGTCTCATTGGATATCCCGGCATTCCCGGAAACGAAGGGCCCCAAGGACCTAAAGGTACTGCTGGTCAACCTGGGCCCTCAGGTGCGCAAGGGCAACCAGGACCCATGGGACCACCAGGCTCACCAGGCCCGCAAGGCCCTATTGGCGCCCCAGGAATACAAGTAATATATGCGTACCTACTATGTTAATATTTTTTTCACCATAATAAAAAGAGTGTATTGTGTGATTAGCTAATAACTAGACTGTATTTCGGCAAATAATCCTTACTAATATTATAAAAGCGAAAGTTTGTATGCATGGATGGGTGTTTGTTACTCTTTCAAGCAAATACTACTGAATGGATTTTAATGAAACTTTACAATAATATAGCTTAAACATCAGAATAACACATAGGCTATAAGTTATATACATATTTTATGTATATCTGTCTTTCTGCTTAATGTTACACTTTCAGCCTATTCTACGCGGACGTAGTCGCGGGCAGTAGCTAGTACTATACATATTTTTAAAATTTTTGAGTTTTTCAAAATCAACTAATCTATGAAAAATACCAAGGTAATTAAATGTTTTATAAACTGCTTTCCATTAGCCAGAATCACTTCGGAGACAATTTTTAGTTTACAACGTGACTTTGAAAGAAACTATGTTGTCTGTCAGCTAGCGAAAATCAACCAAGCTGACAGACAACCCATTGACCCAACCAATATTTGTTCACTACAAATTCTCATTGGTCGTTCAAACTTATTCCATAAGAAATAATAATAATCCTAAAATTATTTATTGTTTAATGTAAATCTTTTTTTTCTCTAATTTACCGTGTGTAGGGACCACAAGGGAAACCTGGAATATCAGGACTACCAGGATCAGAAGGATCGCCAGGAACACCAGGAAGTCCTGGCCAACAAGGGTCTCCTGGCGAAGTGGGACCACAAGGGCTACAGGTAAAATTACTTTGAATCTATTCAAAGCTGAGGTAATAAACATAAGGGGGTTTTATAGCTTACTTAACTTAATCAAGTGATCCTTGCTTGTTTGCAATATATTTTTTTAATTTTACAAAATAACAATTATAATCGTTTGTATTATCTTTGTTCAAAGGGTATGTTAGGATTCCCAGGACCTCGTGGGCCTAAAGGTGATGATGGCCCTCGTGGATTACCCGGTGATAAAGGAGATAAAGGAATTCGAGGTATCCACCTTTTTCCTCTGATTAAATTTTTATTTTATTTATTTCGATATTTTATTATTTTATAGATTATTTTATAGATTATTTTATATATTATTTTATAGATTTCGAATATTTTATTTATTTGGATTAAAAAGAAACAAACACAAAAGTCACTAGACCGACACTGTTTAATGCATCAATGTACAGGTATTGAAGGAGAAAAGGGTGAGATGGGATTGAAGGGTGAAAGAGGTTTACCGGGAGAGTTAGGAGCACCTGGAATCGAAGGACCAGAAGGACAAAAGGTAAAAAGTCTTTTATGAAAAATAAAGTTAAGTATATAGTTAAATGTCTTACTGTTGAGTAAATGCCTCCTTTATTCAAAGGGTTATACTGATTTTTTTCTTTTGATTTTAATATATTAGTAACATATGTTTCATCGTCATCTTAATGAAGAAAGTTTTATTATTATATTATTTTTCTATGATTTTTTTCTACCGTCGCTTCTACCAAATTTTTTTGTAGGGGACTGAAGGGCCAAGAGGCGAGACTGGATCTATCGGGCCCGCCGGCGAAAAAGGTGCTACAGGACCCCAAGGCTTAGCTGGATATCCAGGGAACCAGGGGGAAAAGGGTGATAAAGGCGCTTCGGGTAGAAGAGGCAGACGTGGAGCGAAAGGAATTGTGGTAAATAGTCCACAGTGGTACTGAGAATAAAAACTTAGAGCACGTACAGCTAAGCTACATGACACAGACATATTTCAAGCATTGTTCTCACAGGAACACGCAGGAACAATACCGCGCACACCGCGCCCAAATAATCCTGAAACACCTCTTACCAAACATAATATGCATCCACGAACGCTTGGGACTCATCGCTGGAAGAATATAAAAATTCTTCCCGCAGTGGATTCCAACTTTCATTACAAGTCACAAATTTTCTCCGCGAAAGTTCTACTTACGTTCCTCTAGCGTTCCTTTTCTATTACATAATAGTTATGAATACTCTTGGTTGCCTTTACAAGTATGTATTACATCATTAAAAACCGTTTTTAAGATATCAAAACTAACGACATTCTCCTGTCCACATTGCATCGTTCCATATCGTAGAACGCACATTTATTATACTTTCATGCTTCTTTTGCCAATCCCAATGTTCTTTCATACATTAAAGTTCTAACACAACATCGGGTTCAACGAATGTGTTTTTTACAAGGATGACCTGATTACTCATATAGGTAACTGTTGATTAGTTCTTTTAAAATTTCTCGCTTCTTAAAGACTTCGCCCTCCAGACTTTTAGGACAAAGTAAATATACTCAAATGTATATACTATATCAAATATATATAAATATATTCTCCAAAAAAAGCAAATAAACCAGCTGTTACACCGATTTTTTGAGATATTTTAGTCTTATGATTTTTAGATATTTTAGTCTTTAGATATTTTAGTCTTATGATTTTTACCGGAAAATCGGCGAGATCATTCATTCCATATTAAGTTAAAATTATTTTCCACAGGGAATGATCGGTATTCCAGGAGACAGAGGGGAAACTGGACCAAGAGTAAGCTATTTTAGTTTGTTGCTATTATTGCAACTAAATGCTATTTAGTGCTAATTAAAAATTAAATGCCTATTTAATATTGTTGCTATTTAATTTATAGCCCAAATAAACAGGTTAAACTTCTACGCTAGACAATATGTAACATAACTTACAATAATCTGATTTAAAAACAAGCGCGTTCTATTACTATGTATAATCATTATAGTCTTTATGTATTAAATTATTATAGTCTTAATATATAATAGGAAATTATAATTATGTTTTAGGGGTATAGAGGCCCAAGAGGTCGACGTGGTTCTGATGGACCCCCAGGTCCAAAAGGTGATACGGGTCAACCTGGATCACCGGGACCGATAGGAGAAGGAGGGCCTCAAGGACTTGAAGGCACTCGGGGATTTCCCGGGACAATGGGACCTCCCGGCTCTGATGGAAAACCGGGTTTACCTGGTCCCTCCGGTGAACGCGGTCCAGTGGTAATTGATTTTAACTTTCCACTTTCCCGTTTACCTAGATCACACTGAAAGTTCTTAAAGAATTTTAAAACGGCTCAATTTAGAATATTGCCAATACTTGTATTATTGTTTTAAGTAGTCTCCGTACCTCTCTATACATCTTCGCATTCGAAGGAACCATTGAGAAAAACAGAGGGCCCGTTTTTCCTTAGCGGTCTCTTCTATCTCTTTAACGCGAATATTATACGTATTAAATGAAACTAGTTTACGGATTTTATCACGTTTTAATTTTGATTTTTAATTCCTGAAAACGCTTGACGCTTCGAAGCCTTTTCAGCGTTCATGGTCACAAGACAGATTGAGTTGTTTCAGTAGAGCAGCAGAGCAAAAGGAGCTTACGGTATATTGATGTCTAGCAGTATTGCTGTGCTTCGATTTAATTTTATAAATTATGGGATCTCAAGTAGGTGATAAAGCCCAACCATCTTCGCTATTGAAATTAGGATGTTTATTTCACTCAGGGCGATACTGGTAAACCGGGTGTGATGGGGCCTCCGGGAGCTGTTGGTCCCCAGGGGCCGAATGGAGAGTTAGGGCCACCCGGGCCGCAGGGACCGTCTGGCGTCCCGGGCACACCCGGTGATATGGGAGCGCCAGGTGAGATGGGTAAAGAGGGCCCACCCGGCTTACCCGGCCCTGAAGGCAAGCCTGGCCCCGCAGGGTCGCCCGGCCCACCCGGACACCAAGGAGACCCTGGAGTGCCTGGAACAGCCGTAAGAAATTATATTATATACACCTTAATACTCAAAAAATCTTCCCACTAATATATTACAATACAAGTTAATACATGATTTGAAATTATAATAATCAATGCAGCGCGCCCAGTCGCTTAGCTGAGCATATTACCCGGAAGATGCAAGCAATCAAATTCGAATCCCGCAGCGCCAAAAGTTTTTGACCATTTATCTACCAAAATTCACTTTAATTATTAATTAAAATTTTCTACCATTTCATATTTTCCACAGGGATCGCCAGGAGCTAAAGGAGATTTGGGTCCTCCAGGTCCTTCTGGTATACGAGGCGATAAGGGAGAACAGGGAGAACCTGGCCAAGAGGGATCCCAAGGTCCTATGGGTCGGGAAGGCCCCCGAGGACCGCCGGGATCTGGTGGGCAAAAAGGAGAAATTGGAGAACCAGGACCGGTTGGTAAGTATGAATTTTTTTTAGATTGCTGATTTGAAGTAACAAATACAACCCCCACACACAAACGCTTACCTCCGTATTTATACAATAGTAGTTGCTGATCCGGCGAACGTTGTTTTGCCATATAAATTATTTGTAGGATAGAAAAAAATAAGAAAATAAATTTGTTATAAATCTATTCTCATATCTACTGAATGTAAATATAAAATTTCATCAAAATCTGTCAAGCTATTTCGGAGGAGTATAAACACTAAAACTGTGAACAAGAATTTTATATATTAGATTAAAGCGATAACGTTTATTACGAATTACAGCCGGAAGATGCAAAAAAATTAAAACATTCTTGTAAAATATTCATTTTATTCAATAAAATTACAATTTAAAGTAAAGCTAAATATAGTTCTCTCCTCGAAGTGTGACATAAGTATGTCTAATTTTGGGTGCCACAATCCATTCCTCAATGCTCACCATTGTTCCGCGATTCTTTTAAAAGCCCTCGTATGAGGTACGAGTGGATTCCGTTGATAGGAATGAACATCTACAAACATCATAGTTTTTGTTTACGCCGGTACGTAATATGATGTGTACGTTATGCTACGCATGTTGAAAGTTGCAATAAAACATTTATCTCAAATGTCATTATCTTTAGGCCCTGTTGGGCGTGATGGATTACCCGGCCCCAGAGGATTAACTGGTGCGCCTGGCCCCGTGGGACCGCCTGGTGAAGATGGTGACAAAGGTGAAGCTGGTCCACCCGGAGAAAAAGGATTTAAAGGCTCAGCGGGAGAACCTGTAACAAATGTTTGATATTTTAAAACTATCACTGAAATCCAAAAAGTTCCAGATTAAACTGGTCTTCTTAATTTCTAGGGGCCTCAAGGTTCACCGGGAATTCAAGGATTAAGAGGTGAAACTGGCCCCGTTGGATTGCCAGGGGAAAAGGGCCGACAAGGTGATCCCGGGCCAATAGGGGCAACTGGCACTGACGGAGCCCGAGGGCCCCAAGGCCCACCTGGCGTTACGGGTCCCCAAGGTGAAAAGGGCCAACAAGGAATTAGAGGAGATAAAGGAGATATTGGATCTATAGGTATAGCTAATATTTTTATAGCTTTCATTAACATTGTCAAACTCTATTATTAACAACTGCCAAAAGTGGGTAATATTTATCTTGTGCATGTATGTATGTTTTATTCTTTGACACGTTCTACAATCTAATGCTTTCGACATATTTCAACATATGAGATATTTATTCAGTTATGAAAGTGCTAGTTGACTCTTTTTTTTATAATGCAATTGTTTTTTGATTCATTTAATAATTTACGCGAGCAAACATAACATATTCAGGTGCAACTGGTCCGGTTGGTCTCACCGGACCTCCGGGACGGCGAGGTGCGAGAGGAATTCAAGGTGAACCTGGCCCCAGGGGTCCAGAGGGCCAACGCGGGGAAATTGGAAATGCTGGTGCTCCGGGACCACCGGGACCTCAAGGCCCTGAAGGGAAACAAGTAACTAATCTATTGCGTTCATGTTCTCAAGTATGAATTAGCCTGATCAATGTGTATACAACCAAATCATGGGGTAACGGATTAATCTATTTATTTTATGTGAGAAAGCGGCAAGAAATTTTTTAGTTTATAAATTGATATAAGGCAATGATGTTTAATGAATAATATTTAACATCATTGCCATAATATTATTAAACGTCTTTGGAATTCTCTTCCCTTAGATATTAACACAATCTAAATCTCTTAATGTTTTTAAAACTAATTTAAAATTTCATTACTTATCCTCTTAATATATGTATATATTATATGTTTCTGTGTATGTACTTTTCTTATCACTTTCTTTCTATTTAGTACACAGTTGCCGCCTTATTCTTTTAATAATATCCTCTGTCCTATGATTGCATGAAAGATATCGCTACTTTAGCGATAGTTGTACCCATTATGTTGTATTTTAATTATAAATACCCTTGGTGCACAATAAAATATATTTTACTTTATATTATATCTTATTTATTTTTATACCTTACTCACCTGATAAAACGCAGAATTATAAGACTTCCACTTCACGCCGGCCTTCTGTGAGGTCATGGTACTTGCCCATACAATAATATTAGACCCTGATGTTCATTGTTTAAAGTTATGAGCTATAATAATTATTCAATTCATACAGGGACCAAGAGGTGCCGTTGGACCCAAAGGCGAAGATGGTCCTCCAGGTTTGCAGGGTGAGCCAGGAATAAAGGGCCTAGCAGGATTGGAGGGTCCAAAAGGAGATGCCGGCCCTGCAGGATTTCCTGGTGATAGAGGAGAGCCTGGACCTCAAGGAGTAAAAGGGGAACCCGGTGCTGACGGTCCAGAAGGCAGCACAGGACCGCCCGGTCTCCCGGGACCTGTTGGACCACCTGGAAAGCCTGGGGAAACTGGCTTACCTGGGAGCCCTGTTAGTCCATTTTGCCGATTAATCAAATTATTGAAATTATTCGATACTATTTTCGTCGACCTATTAGTTTATCATAAGCGACATTTAAGACTCTTATCCCTAAAACTATTTTCGTTATCCTACAATCTGGCAATAATGGTGACGCTCGTAAAGGTCAAACAAAAAATATCTCTTTCGAGATATAATTTAACTTAAAATTTACATAAATAAACAAATTGTTTGAGGGAGCGGAGGGACAAGCTGGTGCTCAGGGTAGTCCTGGCATTCCTGGCGAAAAAGGCGACATAGGCCCCAAAGGCGCTGTAGGGGAACCTGGGCCAATTGGACCACCCGGGCCAAACGGTTTAGAAGGTCAACGCGGTATCAGAGGAAGCCCTGGTCCAAATGTAAGAAAATAATGCAGTTACTATTACTACCTAAACGCAAAGATTTTTTTTTATTCACGAGGTGATTTTCAGTTCAAAACTGTTCGTGATGAACTGCCTCAATTATTTTTTACAAAATTTATTACAAAACCTAAATACATATGCAATAATTAAAAAAGCTTTTGAAGCTTTGAATCACTCAAACAACAAACAACTGTAAAAAAATTCAAAGTTACAATGTGGACACAAGGTGGTATGTCCAGATTCAAGACAAAAAAAAAGGAACTAACATTACACGAACCATTTGGAGACACTTTTCACATAAAAGCTATCTTATAGTTTTGACCAATAGACTTATCTTATTTATGCTCTAGGCGAGTTAGTTTTTAAACTTAGTATTTGCGTGCGAAGTCGACAACCACGCATACACTTAATATTAAACTTAACTTACTTTTTCGCATTTATGTTTTTGTTAGGATTGAGTCTTACTAAACATAGTAACAATATATAGTAACAATACAACAAGCATATAGTAACAACTATTTAAGAAAGCTTTCAATTTATTTTAGGGTGAAGTAGGTCCCCCAGGTGTCATGGGACCGGCTGGTCCTCCAGGTAAACCTGGCCCACCTGGCGCGCCTGGACTAAGAGGAGAGAAGGGAAACACAGGGCCAAAAGGTCATATTGGAGAAACGGGCACAATGGGTATAAAAGGCGATCAGGGTGAACAAGGACCACAGGGCCCACCAGGACCGGCAGGACCACCAGGGCTTAAAGGAGACTTAGTGAGTTAAGCTTAATGTTACTTACTTATGCTCTAAAATTCTATCTTCATGGGAGCGAGTAATATCCTTACTTATACTTACTATCCTTACTAATATTATAAAGGCGAAAGTTTGTATGTATGGATGGATGTTTGTTACTCTTTCACGCAAATACTACTGAATGGATGTTAATGAAAAATTACATCAGAATAACAAATAGGCTATAATTTATACACATATTTTTATGTATATCTGTCTTTCTGTCTGAATGTTACGCCTTCAGCCTATTCTACGCAGACGTAGTCGCGGGTAGTAGCTAGTAATAAATAAAAAAATCGAATATAGGGACCGATCGGACCACCGGGAGCTAAGGGAGATATAGGTCCAGCGGGTCTGCCGGGCCCCGAAGGCCCTCTTGGCCCAAAGGGGCAAAATGGAGCTGACGGCAGACCAGGTCTCCCGGGGCCGCCGGGATTACCCGGCCCCCCAGGACCTCCCGCAGCCGCGCGCCACCTACCTCAGGAATTGTTTGCCTCCTACCGACGACGCAGAAGCACTCTCGATTCATCAGAGTCGAGCACGGAAAACGACTTGGAAGACGGTAATTAATGCAAAAAAACATAATAAAACACTAAATTTCATCTAATTGTGAATTTGTTTTAATAAAAACAATTCTGTGAATTTTTTACGTTTTGCAGATATTGAGGAAGTGGAGTGGACTCGGGAAATTATGTCTGGAGTTCTAGCGGCCCGGTCCACATTAGAATCTGTGAAAAGGCCATGGGGCACACGCTCAAATCCCGCGTTATCTTGTAAAGACCTGCGAAATTCACATGTCAATGTAACCGATGGTAATTTCTTTGAACTGAACACTCATGAAATCACATAAACAATATATATAAAAGCCTGCGCCTACCTTACTGCATTGGCTCCGTGTCCTAATACCGTGAAACTTAGGCTTTGCATATTTATCAAGATATAGTAACTTCTCTGTTTTAAAACCAAAAACCATTACATTTACATGCATTATTACATTAATATAGGTATGTATCTTGAAAAATGTAACCTATAAAAAATAAGCTATTTATTATATAGTACCTGGAGGACAAAGCTTTGCTCGGTTTTTTTTTAAATCGTGTTATTTTGGAAATTACATTTAGATACGAATTACTGAGTAATGAAACATGCATAATATTTTTCGATCTTACCGACGTAATAATAAGAAAATATGAACTGGTGTTGTTCACAAAAGAAAGAACTTTTAAAAAAAGGGAAAAAAGAACAAAATCATCTAGATGGACAAAAAATTAAAAAGCAATGATCTGGAATCGAAAAATATGTATGTAAATGATCGTGACACGAACTATTATAAGATTTTTTTCTTCGGCGAAATTTACCGTCATATTCGAATGATATTTTTCATTCCCTGAAAACACGGATAAAAGGACATTTTCTAAAAATAAAACCTAGCTAGATTGATTTTTCGCCCCCGAATCTACGCACATACTAAATTTCATGAAAATCGCTGGAGCCGTTTCCGAGATTCCGATTATATATATACAAGAATTGCTCGTTTAAAGGATAAGATTACCTACGATGCAAAGAATATAATGCCCTTAACTATGGCATAGTTATCATCGCTTAATATTCGAGCCAGATTTCAAATTATTTAACGTTTGTATTTGGTAAAATTAAAATAGAAATGAATGTTTTACATACAGATATAAGCCCATATAGTTACCTAAGTTTATTATGCTTACGAGTGAATCGAATAAAAGCGAGTTAAGAAAGAAATCAATCGTTCAGACTTGATGGAATCAACTCATCTTATAGGACTTACATTCTTAAACTATGTATAATTCTTGTCGTCTCTTTAATTCTTAGGTTTCTATTGGATCGATGCAAGAGGTGGCGGTGTCAGTGGACAACCAATTCGAGTGTACTGTAGAGGCCACAACACTTGCGTTTATCCCGATATCATGGAACCAAATGAAATTTACACAAGCTATGATCCAGTTCGTAAATTTTCCCAAATTACCAACGGGCATCGCGTAAGTGTTCACATGCATTGACATACCTATTGCTCAGTACACTGTATTTATATCGAATTACGAAGAAGGACACGACCCCCCGAATTAACTCGGCACCCGAAAAATTAGTATTGCACACTTCACCACACTTGTATAACTTACAACTTAGACTTACAACTGCTTACAACTTACGGTGGTAGGGCCACGCAGCAGCCTCGGCTGTTGCTCGAATGACCAGGCTTGTCCGGGTAAGTACCACGACCTCATAGAAGACCGGCGTAAAGTGGAAGTATAATACTTTCGCGTTTCTTCTGGTGAGTGAGGTGACCGGAGCCCAATTTTTCAATAGGTTGTCAACGTATCTGCAACCCTTGGGTAGCAGATGTCCATGGGCGGCGGTATTCACTTAACATCAGGTGAACCGTCTGCTCGTTTGGCAACTTTTCACATACAAAAAAAATCAGGCCGAGCCCTGAGATAGTGATTATTGCACCAAAGAATTCCGAAAACCCGCAAACATCCTCGGGAACAGCATCGTACATTAATGTACCGGAATAAGTTTGCCGATGCTGCTGCTAAGTCCTCAAGACTACCAAGCAAGACCATGACTAACTTTGAATTCACTGAATTTATACTAATAGATAAAAATTGGACACAATCAAGGCGCCATTTTATTTGACCTGACGTTTATATTAATGGCTTTACTTTAAAACGTTTCAGATTTCATATGAAAGCCAAGGATTAGGATCTATCCAAATACGTTTCTTAAAATTATTATCGCAGGGAGCGAGACAAAATTTTACCTACTCATGCATCGAAGCGTCAGCTCCACAAAGGTAAAGAGAAGAACATATTGTCAGCACTATAATATAAATAAACATTTTATTCATACATACATAAACGCTTTGGTAGTACACTTAAGCGTCTGATGTTGCATGAATGGTTTGACTCGTCCGTGATGTTGTCGGTCGTACAAATGACTGGCGTAAATTGACTGATATTTTTTATTTCAATCCGTAAACTATTAAAGCTGCATCGAACGCAGAACTCATAGGATAGCTAGATTCCCAAGAGCTTCATTGGGCCCTCCGCGTTGAGTAAGGCTGCGCATGAGCACATGCGTTATCTATGGGGAGGACTGTCCATTGAATTTTGGTACAGACCGTGACCTCAATGGCCTGTATCGTCTGTATTAATAGTTGGTAAGGACGGTGAGAACCGCCCTAGAACGCCAGTGTACCTTGTGTACGAGTTCTGTTGATTTCGCGCCGTACTCTTAGGACTACGACAGAACTGCAACCCTACGTGTGATCTGGATACCACGTTCTCTTTTTATAGAAAAATCGACGCCCGACGTTTTGTGATCTGAATTTGTTTTCTGCAAATCTTGTCTCAATATACACAAAAAGGAATAGTTTAAAACGAAGACTACCTATTGCTAAAATTTAACTCTTCGTAACGGACAGTACCTACCTACCTAAATCACATTAACTTATAAATCATAAAATACTTTCAGATCTGATATCCCCTTGGACATAGTAAGGGCAAATGGAATTAAATTGTACGGACATAACTCCGCCGAATTCAAAGAAACTCATATAATAAAAGACGACTGTAAGGTGAGCAGCATTGTTCACTATGTAATGTTTTTAGTATTATATACATAAAACATTTGCTTTCTCATTTACTTTTGTAATATTTTCTTGTTATCACAGGAGGGTAAAGGCGAAATTGTATTGGAAATCAAAACCTCTCGAACTGACCGATTGCCCATTAGTGATTTCCAACCACTGGCATTCTTTGACGCATCACACCAGTTTACTTTCACTGTAGGACCGATATGTTTCAAATAACTTAAGCGAGATTATTAGGCATGTTTTGCAATTATGTACTTAAGATGGATTTTTGTAAATATTGTAAATAAATTTTGTGACGACAGACTATCTTTTTTATTTCTATCATATCTTAGCAAACAAATTTAAAATTTGATTTGCTAAGGATAAGACGAGAATAAATTACATATCGATACCTTAATTGGCAAACCAGCTAACTCCACCTTTGGTCAAAAATATTTTTTGGCTTTGTTTGTACGCAAAAATATTTCCGCTTGATTTGCAAAAGCAATAACTCTTTCTTTCTATAAATCGCTATTCGCAAATCAGCCAACTCCGCATGTCACGAAACGTTACAATTTTAACAGCCAACTCCACCAAGTCGGCTATTTAGTATGGCGTCAGAGTCATGTACGGGTACCGCCCTACGTTATTTGGAAAAAAAATTATATAAACGCAACAAAAGGAAAGGTAGCGTTGAAAAACAATTGAACATTAATACACAGTATGGATACTTATTTTATTTCTTACAAAACATTGCTAGGTAATTGAGCAATTCTAAAATTTAATATTGGCTTTGAGTTGGCCGGCTTGGTTCTTACTTTATTACTCTACGGTTGGAAGTTATACATTTTAAAGTTTATTAAAAATTTTAATTAAATTTGATGATACCAATAAACCTGATTCTTTTCTGGTTCTTAATAACCAATTTTCAAAACCCTACGACGCTTTGGTTGGGCATGATAGCGTAGCTTCTAATTCATCGAATTTATTTGTGCAAGTGTGCGGGAAGTCGATGGATGCAGGTGGCTCAGGATCTTACTTCGTGGCAGTCTATGGGGGAGGCCTGTGTTCAGCAGTGGACTCAAACAGGCTGAAATGATGATGATGATGATTTGATAACAACATTTATTGCATTGGAAATGAACTGTCTGCCATGGAGTATACGCAAACATGAAATTGTTGTTAATGAAGACAAATCCAAGACCTTACACCATCACTTAAATACAATCTTGAAAATGCCTCTAAGTTTTAAGCCAGCTCACCTCTCTACAAGTAATGATAAATCGGATAACGATTAGACGGTCCTTTGATACAGAAACTACTAAAAAATCATGAAACTAGACTACTGTAAGTAAGAGAAATAGTGTTATCATATAAATAGTGTTATGTCATAATATTTGTGAAGATGACGGAAAAATATTATTTGACAAATTTTTAATATGACGGGATAAAAAACGAATTTACGTTGATTGTTTAATAAAAATTTTAGATACAATTAGGCAAAGAGATAGGACAGACCCTTAAAAATGTAAAAAAAGTTAACGCTTTTATATACCACCCTTCAAAACGTGTGTATTTATGATATGAAAACTAGAGATGGCTGTTCCTTTCTATGGAATGAAAGCAAAGGCTGAGTTCTGATTAGTTTGCGACGATTTTAATCAATTTCTTAGTTGATAAAGTAATTCTAGCAGTAGAATTACTATTCATAAGAAGATGACAACAGATATTAAAAAATTTAATTAAATTTGATGATACCAATAAACCTGACTCTTTTCTGGTTGGTAATAACCAATTTTTAAAACCCTAAGACGCTTTGGTTGTACACTTGAAAAGAAAAAGAAAATTTTTATTTAAAATAAATCTATCAAGAAAACCAGCTAACTCACAGATCACATACTTTTGCACGAAAGAAAAAACGGATAACTCCTAAAAAACGCTGTAGTATGGTAATGAAAATGTATAATGGATTTTATAATATCAGAAATGACAATTTACGATAATATCTACCAACTATATTTTTGATTTTAGTCTTAAAAAAAATATTATACAGTTTTAAGTGTCTCCTGTAAAACTTGTCCTTATGGAGTTAGCTTGTTTGCCAATTAAGGTATCGATATATGATATTTTCTTTTATTTTCGATAAAGAAAATCTCGTTAACACTTCATCATCATCATCATCATATCGGCCGTAGGACGTCCACTGCTGAACATAGGCCTCCCCCATTGACTTCCACTTCGACCGGTCGTTAGCGGCCTGCATCCAACGCGTCCCTGCGATCTTGGCTAGGTCGTCCGTCCACCTTGTGGGAGGCCTTCCTACGCTGCGTTTGCCATCACGTGGTCTCCACTCGAGAACCTTTTTGCCCCAACGGCCATCGGTTCTTCGTTAACACTTAACAGACATCTATTGTATAAATGTTTTCGCTTACCCGATAGTAACCCGACTTATCGACCGAACTTGCTAAGTGGGCCCGTTAATTTGCCACAGCTGCTAATTACAGCCTCAATCGAAAACTATTGATTATTACATGGTTTGAATAACAAATTTAAAAAAATTATGTTAAATCTAAATTAAGTTTTTAAAATAACGGTTTCAGTTTTTAAAAAGTGGTTTTAATAGCTTGGCATTTTTACGATAAATTACTACTTGTACTTCGGAAGCTTCATAACTTTTATTTTTGCTTTGTTTAGTATACTCATCATTATAAGCCATTTAACTGATCATACTTTACTTACCGTTAACTTATGGTCTTTCCCGTATGCTACTATCAGCGTCATTCTGGTCATTTATTGTATACATTTTTGGGGACACATTTTCAGTTAAAAAAAATATGTTATAATATCAAATTCAAAGATATACTAAATGATGTTAAACATTCATAGATGCCATTCCTTTATTCCATAGGTATCAAAAGTTATTTTGTGATGTATACTTATACTTTACTAGTTCTAGTATTTAAACATACTATAAAAATTGTTTCATTAAAAGTTTTTCAAAACAATTTTCAAATGAATTTATAACTGAAAAAGCTTAACATGCAACTGGATAGATATTAGATGATTCCGATACAAAATCACTTTGCTACATTTTTAACTTGAAGATATTTAACTAAATTTAGGTCAAACACTGACCTAATTTTAGTTATATTAATTTTACTTAATAAGAAAAAAATATTTTAGCATGCCTTGGTGTCATTGATACGCATGTTGATGATAAAAATATGATTCAGTACACCATATGAATAAAAACATGACCTCAATACTTAAAAATTAATTTTTATTTGCAATTAATGAACCATTATATTGACGTGTTAATAAATACTAATAGTATTAATTTAAAATTTTTTTTTGGTGTTGAACCATTCAATTGCTAAAAAAGTAATCCAGTGCATGTAGCAGATATTTCTTTGCTTTGAGTTGAAAAGTCGGATCTTACAGATTTTTAATATGAAAGTAAAGAAATAGAGCTAGGGGTCTAGGTTAAATGCTGTCATAATTATGCAACTCGGTATACAGATAATTAAATCCAATTTTGAGTTATTTCTTTTAAATATCTTACAAAGTACTATAATACAAACAATATTACAATTTTCATCAGTTTTCTGTTGAATTGAACATTGCTTCAAGTATCATTTCTACACTTTTGAATTTTAAATCTGGATCTATTGGCTCATGACTTTTAACAGAAGGGGGATCATTGGAAGCCATATTTCCACAATGACTTCCATCGGCCTCCAAAACTTTTAGGAGAGATTCATCATTTGCCACCCTTTCATTCCATACAATAGCACCTGTAGCCATGACTGAAGCTTGAGCTGCCTTAGCATCCTTATGGTCCAGTGTTGACCTATATCCATCAGCATTTTCATTTTTTAGTGATTCAATACACTTTACTGCTTCTTGTACATGTACTATAGTCTCTTTACAATTTTTCTGCTTATTTAATATAATAGGACTTTCTTCCTGTATATGTCTATCAGTATTAAAATCAGATTTTTCAACATTTAAAACTGTTTGAGGCATCTCACAATCAACATTTTTATCCATAGCATGATTTTTAGATGGAACTTCCTGCACTTGTGTTTCACTGATTGTTATGTCGTCGTCTTTAAGATTAATATAATTACCACATAATTTACTTAATCCTATATCTTTGTTCATACTGTCATCGTCTTCGGAAGAAGCAAGTAGAATGTTCTCAGAATCCTCAACAGCTTTCTCACAATTTTCTTGATACTCCAATATCTCTTCAACGGCACATTCTTGACTATCGACATAATGGGATTCAACATGTAAATTAGTCATAGCATGATGGTGATTTTTTGTAATTTTCATATCTTTTTCAAATGTCGTCGTATACGTATCATCTTTGGCTATCTCTGATTCGGAATAACTAGAATTTTCTATACTGATAACATCATATGTTTCATTGTTTTCAGACTCACTGTTTGATTCTAACGTATCCGATATCGCAATAGGTGAATCATCGCAGTCTGAAGAATCTGGTGACGATACTTCGTCGCCTGAATGTAACTTTTCTAAAAGATTTAGTTCCTCAACATCAGAATCATCACTAACCAAATTTATACGTTCATTGTAGTCAACTTCAGTCGTTAATTTAATTACAGTAGGTGCATTGGGATTTTTACACCCTTGACTATTTTTGTCATCTTTGTCCACATCACACGATACTTCTAATGTAATATTATCTCTATCAATGCCCTTTTGTGTTTTTTCATCCTCCATCACGTTTTCAATGGTACTCGTTACAGTTTTCTTCATATCTTCAGAGTTAATAGTACTATCGATTTTAGTAGCGTCATTTTCCACAAACTTTTCTTCATCCCTTATTATGTGAACATCGTCAGAGCCATCCTTGTTCGGATACATATTTTCAGCTATTTTACTACCCTCACCAGACTTTCTAGATTTCTCTTCCAAAAGTCTTCTTAAACGATCTTTTCTTTTTTGTTTATCCTGTAATGAATTGCCGTCATCGTTAACTTCTTCCTCTTCGCTTTCCACAGGTGATTCATCAGCTTCTTTATCGTCGATTTCAACACCCTCTAGTTTTAGCTGATTTTGTTTATCTGCATATCTGTGAAAGAGATTATTTTAATGATGCATATTTATAACCATGTGCATACCAGTACTTTATGTTTTTAGACGTTTATGTTTTCATGATTGTAGACACTAACCAATAGTATAAAATAATGAAAACAATAATAGAAAATACATATACAGCGTGTCGTTACCACCGCGACAATAAATGAACACACATATAGAGAATAACTTTTTAAAATTGTATTAAATATTTACATTCTTTAAACATCAATATTTACCGAGTTATAAAATTTTCCAAAACGAACAATTTTAGAACACCCTCACGTATAAAACTGTAACTTAAGTTCATTTGTAAAGGTCACAAAGAATATGAATGGGTTGAATGAATTTAATAGAGACAAAACATACTGTTAGAAGGAGAGGCTTGTAATACGACGCTGTGGCGCGAGTTGTGTAGGATGTTACAAATTTTGTTTCTTTTTTTACTTAATTAGTTTGTTTGGAAAATATTTTTTTTAAATATGGATTTTGTTTAACGTTAATATTTTTTTTTTTTTGATTATTGGCAAGTAGCGTTAGACGTGTGTTCATTTATTGTCGCTATGGTAACGACACGCTGTATAATCCTTAAAATTTACTTGGATTTCAGAACCTTTATTTTGTGGCATGTATAATAGACAGCTATACATCTGTGAATTAAATATACGCCGTAATGTGTGAGAGAAAGCGATTGTTCGGCCAGTTTACAACAGGTCTGCAGAAAAAAAAAACTTTCCAAAATTTGGGCCAATTTGCGAGTTTCTTTATGTCAATGGCTTAACACTAAACACTAATAAATTTTTCGTTCTCAGAATTTATTACGGGTAAAATAAGTTACTGACATTTATTTCAGACATTCGGTCTCAACACCTGTAACAATACCATTTGAGACTCAATAAGTTTGGTGAAATATGGCACTTATTATCTCTGTCTATCTCATAAGAGATGAAACACGTGAAATATTTGTCTATATATATATAAAAATTTCGTGTTACGTTGTATGTTCGCGATAAACTCCGAAACTACTTAACCAATTTTTATCAAATTTTCTAAGCATTTGTAATTTGGTCCAATTTGGGAGATAGGGTAGTTTTTATCTCCATTTTTGATCTCAATATTTGTTTTCGCAAATTATTTGTTTATTACATAGCAAAGGGCTATCTGTGAGTCTCATAAAATTCTAACAGATGGCGGTGTAAGATAAATTTATCGGCTGGATTGAGTAAGTATCTGATAGATGGCGCTATGCTAAAAGTAGAAACGTATGGAACCGGTAAAATTGGCGCAGAAGAAGGTGCGCGGGTCAGCTAGTATATTATATTACTACTAGTGGAAAGCACCGAAATGACGGTGTCGCCCATTCGCTCACATTTTTATATTTAGTTATTTATTTAAGAGAAATAGTTATTAATTTAATCCTTTTTTATAACAAGCTAAAAATGACTTACTTATTGACAAGTTCAGTCTCTTTTGTGCCCGCTATCGTCTTATTTTCATCTAATTTCTTTTTAAGGGTCTCATTTTCTTCAGCTGGGTCCCTCTCTTGTGTTATTCGTGATGTCGCTAATCTCCATTCATTTTCTTGTCGTCTCCTTTGCAACTTTCGTCCACACCTTGTAAAGAGATCTCGTGCTAAAACAAGTGATTTAACAAGTGAGTGGGTGGCGGTTATCAAAAGTATACGTCATTAGGATCTTCCATAACAGTAGTTAAAAGGTTTTTTGTTATTAAATTTTTACCCTTGTGATGCTCTCTTAATAACTTAATTCTCTTTAAATTTCTAATTTTTCTTAATTATTTTGGTGTCATACTTTCAAAATTTTAATAAGGAAATAACGTAACTATTGTTAGGATTAACTTACATTTTTATTGCTAGTCTTAAGGTGAAACTTTTTATTATGAATTTTTGTAGATAAATGAACAAAAACTTTCGGCGCTGCGGGGAACAATCCTGCATTTCCCGGTGTCGCTCCCAGACGCTTTACCAAGCAAAGTGACCAATTATATCACAGAACGAAAATTATATCTATCTACGTTCGTTCTATTGCATATTTAGCAATGGTTTGGGCCGTCTCATGTGCAGCCGACATACAACACTTTGCAAAGAACATTTAACAATGAATATTTGTAACAATAAATGACGTTTTAATTCTTAAAATTTTAGGATTAATTTACACTTTTAGTGCTAGTCTCTGCACTCAAAATTTAATTTATAGGTGAAGTTGTAAAAGCACATACAACGTGGCGCTACTAAAGCGACCAAAATCAATATGCATATAGAGGATAACTTTTAAAATTGTATTAAACATTTACTTTCTTTAAACATAAATAAAAATTTAATAACTTAAATTTAATAGAAACCAATAATTTTAGAACATCCTTAAGTATAAAACTGTAACGTAAAGTTCATTTGTAAACGTCACAAGGCACAGAACATATGAATTAGTTGAATGAATTTAAAAGAAAAATATTGTTAAAAGAATGTTGCAATGAGAAGTTGTGGCAAGAAATGAAAAAGTCTCTGAATGTATGAATCAGTCAGTTGTAGAAGTACAGTGTGTTACAAATATGTTTCTTTTTTATTAAAATAGTTTGTTTGAAAACTGTTGTTTTTTATGATTCTTGGCAAGTAGCATTAGAAGTGTCTTCATTTATTGTCGCGGTTGTAACAACATGCTGTATAACTATTTTTTTTATGTTAGAAGTTGGCATGCTGTCTCCTTTTTTTTTTTCTTTTAATTAAGTGGGTCACAGCTATCTGACTCAACGGACGAAACGCAGAAGTATAACGCTTCAATTTGACGCCATTCTTCTTTCTGTGAGGTCGTGGTACTTACCCGGAGTGTTTACCACGACGCTCATAGGCATTTGTGGTGCTGCATATATTGTAATTTAACAAAAGTCTGTAAATAGATTAATATTTACCTTCTTCCATTACATCAGCCTCATTCCACCCAAGCCTGTCTTCCTCATTAGCTTGTCTAACACATTTAAGTACATCATGAAAGTCAGGAAAAGGAAGTGGAGCGCCTAGGGGAACTTTTTTGTTGATCCACTTTTCGAGCCTCTTTGCAGGTCCTGGCGGCTGTCCGGGACGACATTGTATTTGAATATGTGGCTCCGAGGGCATTTTGGTATTGGTAAGTTGACAAAATTTCGTGTGCACTCGTACCAACCTTTCCTTATACCTGGAAGTTAAATTAGGGTTATTTTTAAAATGTGAAAAATTGTCAAACAGCGACAGGCCGTTAACTTAATGTATCTGTGTTTAATAATATTGCTCATTTTATTTTATTTTAATAATTTTTTACTCTCAATGTAAATGACTCACTCAATGTATATTGCAAGAAAAATAAACGAAATTACCGCCCTTGCACCTTCGCAATACACATATAGTTACATACAATACACATATAGTTACAAATGTGTTGCAATCTTTTAATAAAGTGGGCTCCTGCTACTCCACTCACCACACGAAGCGCTGAAGAACACTTCCATTTCACGCCCGTCCGGACGGATCTGCCCATTTATGCAACAGTGAAGACTGATTTTCGCCAGTTTTAAAAGTTTAATTTTTTTTGCATTTTCATATTGAGCCTTTGCCTAATTGTGAATCTATTTTATAATTTCTCGTTTACGCTATATATATAAGAAGTTTAAACAAAAGAATTAATTTAATTATAAAATAATAAATCTGAAGAATAAATATTAAACCCGTCGTACCCTTAAAGGATTTTGTACTTGTATCCGAAGACGGTGATTGTCGGCAAGACTACCGCTTCTAGATAACACCACTAGGCCAACCCAACTTTACCATAGGTAACAAAATTCCTGTTCTACAAATAATTAATTATATATTTTTTTATATGACAAGTTGCCAAATGAGCAACCCCATGGACAACTGCCACACCTGAGTACTTTCGTCCCCGTGTAAATGAATAAAAGTAACTTTTGGAAAATACAGGTAAACAAACCTCTCAGTCAGCAAATAGACAGAATCTTCTTCATCATCAAAATCAACCTCTTGTTCCTCCAACTTTTGTATTGCCCTATGAAGTTTCTTGATAGTCTTTTCTAATTTACGTATTTGTCTCCCCCGCTTACGGTCGTATTTATCTTCCTCTTCAAAATCCTCAGTCACTTTTTCTGCAATGGAAAAAGTATATATAGTCAAAGTGAAACCTGTACTATGAACAGCCATATATATAAAGCTTATCAGAGCAATCAATATATAAAAATATCAATTTCTGTCATTTTGAGTAAGAATATATCATAATCATCTTCACCTGTTTTTTGGACCTGCATGTTGTACCACAATTTATTTTTTTATGTGTAAAAGTGGCAATCAAGCTAGTGGTTCACCTGATGTTAAGTAATAAACGCCGCCCATGAATGGGTGCTTCAAATATACCCGTAGGATTGCAAATGCGTTGCCACTGGCTACCTCACTCACCAGACGAAACGCAGAAGTGTAACACTTCTACATTAGGCCGGTCTTCTGTGACGACAGACCTGCCCATTTGTGCAACAGTGAAAACCGTTGCGTGGCCCTACCATGAACAAAAAAATTACTTGATCTATTTCAAAACACTGCAGTATGCAAACTACAGCTTAATTTACAAGCACCATTATTTAAGTTTTTATTACCAAACATACAAGAAAATCTACCTACAGTTCTATATAGGAATTTGCATAGCTAAATTGATTCAACTTATGTAGAAGCCAATGTAAATAAAAAAAACATCTAATTATAAACTTTTTATTTCTGAATAAAATAACTTCTTTCTTTAACTACATATAATTAAGTAAGTTAAAACAGAATAGCTGATGGCAAACATTAATCCAAAATTGCAATGTGAGCCATAAAAATGTATTACAACTTAAGTTTAAAGAAAATAGTATTCTTAGATTTAATGTATTTTATTACCTTTTGTAGTAGTGTCACAATTTACTTCTTGGTGTGATTTTGCCATTTTTCTCTGTAAGTTTAATTCATCAACAATATCTTTTATATACAGGTACATTTTCAGAGGACTGGCCTTCATTAAAGATAATTTTATTGACACCATTTCAAGGAACTCTTCAGATTCAACAAATTCCTTTGGTACTTGCTTATAGTATGTTTTAATTTTTTTATCTACAATTTTTCTCATATCATCTGAGTTTTCCAATTCGAAACATAAATCAATAAATCTTTGGTAAATTGGATGAAAATCACCAGTAGTTTCATTGGTGGTTTTTATATTGTTGTCTTGAGTTGCTTTTGTTGTTTCTTGTATTTGTTGATCATTATGCTTATAATCATCTTTTCTTAGCACATCAGTTGTTGGATTTATTGTCATGCAATTTGGTTGCACCAAAATATTACATTCATTCTTGTGACTCAAGTCCTCTTCGAGTTTATGTACTTGACCCTTCTTTTCAGAGTCATTTTCCCCTTTTTGTATTTCTTCTGGACTGCATTCACTATTTACTGGGTAATTTAATTTCTTTTTACTCGAGGGAATCTTAGGCTTATCTTGCTCATCTTTATCATTACAACCTGATGTCAAATCACTTAAGGGTTTGATTGGACTGTCTTCAATTGTTATATAGTGTGTATCCTTTATTTTCACTTGTTCTTTGGCTAAGCAAGGTTTCAGGGGGCTATCTTCTATAGTAATTTCTATCATTGTTGAAGGAGCTGGTTCTTGATTGTTCTGTATTTCTAGACTATTTTTTTCTAATTCTTCCTCAGGCCTCAAATACCACTGTGGGCTTGCTGTAGCTGTAGAAGACTGTGAACCTTCATCATCAAGTTCAACAGTAAGAACATTACCAATAGAGTTTGTTACACCCATTGTTATATTTTTATTTACTCTTACATTTCCTACACCATGTGGTAGTATTTTCGGTAAGGCACTACATGCACTTTTGGTTCTTTTTATTGTGATGCTTGAGGGAAGATTGGGAAATGTCTTTGCTGCTTGTACTTTTAACCGAGCTTTTTCCAATTTAGATCTTGCTGCTTGTATTCTATGGCGTGCTACTGGACTGTGATTAATAACATTTATTGGATTAATTTTTAATTTGTCCCCAATAAAGTTGGGCCTTTCAATCATATGTTTTCTTGAAATTGGTCTGGTCATAAACGTTTGTGATTGTCGTCCATTTGGTTTGGTTTTGTGTGCCATAGTTATTGAAGTTTTGTTAGAGCAGTTTAAAATTTTCGTTCCCATCAAATGTTTTCCTACGCCTCTATTCTTATTAGGTACCGCAGGCGTAATAGAGATACCATGCAACTTATGTGGAATATGTACCATTGCATTTGGTAAAGGTTTGATCTGTAACAATTAACAAAAAGATAAACTTACAAGACTTAATTAATCATTTGTGCAATTTTTAATATAGAATATCTACTTTTTTGGCTGCCGGTTCGACAGTTTCATCATCTGACGAACCCAACTCAATAATATCATCACTTTCCATTATACTGACGGAATGTTTTTATTTAAACAATTGCTTCGTTTAGCTCTTTAATGCTCGTAGACATTAGAAGAAAAGGAAAACACGAAGTAAAAACAGGCGGGAAATGATTACATATTCATTAATCAGTAAACTAAACGAAAATCGACACAAATAAATGTAAATTGTAATCGATGTACTATTGGCAGACAGACAAATTATGTTAATGTAGAGTTATAGAGTATGTATTAGTAAAATGTCACAATGATATGAATGATCAGTCACAGTCACAGCCAGGGTTAGATTAAGGTGCGGTAAAAAAGATAGTACAAATAATTTAAAAGGATAATATTTGACAAAAAATTATAGTACACTATTATCTTCATAATTAAAGCACAAAAAAAATGTTCTACTCAAAAACTCGCAGATAATTGTTATCACTTTGAATTTTGAATAAGATTGGGATGACCTACCCTAAAATAATAAAATATTCTGACTATTAGACAATTATGAACTCTACTACTTACTTCATTGAGTACAATGTGCAAAGTGACTGTTTGAGAAAGCGGAGTATCGAAAAAAGTACCATTCACAGTAGTCAGTATGTCCCCGTATGGCAATAATAGACAATGATATAGACAAGTGCTATAAATATTCTTATTTTAATAATAAATATTTTTAGGACACATGTTTAGACAACGTTCTCTAGTCCCAAACTAAGCAACGCTTGTACTATGGGCACTAGATAACTGATAAACATACTTAAACATACTTTTCTTTTGTAAAAAAATACATATTATACATATATAAGCACGCAGACACTAAAACACTTTTTTTTTTTTTTTTTTTTTTTGGCTGGATGAGCCACTGTTGGCCTTAGGGGCCTTCACAGATCCGACGGACTTGAGGTGGCCTGACGCACGAGGCGCCTAGCCTGAACCTCGGCGTACTATTATTACGCGTTATGGTGACTAAGCTCGAGGGCTCCCGGGGGAGCCTCGGCTCGGGCCGTCACGCTATTATTGTTACCGGTTTGGGAGGCCGCCAAGCTCTTAGGGCGCTTTGGCGGGCGCTCCATGGAGTGATCAGGCTCAAGGGTCCCCGAGAGGGGACCTCGGCTTGGGCTGTCACTCAGCACGCGTTTAGCATTCCGATTCGAGGGTGCCCGAGAGGGCCGGACCTCGGCTCGATCGGTAGCTATTATCTGACTGGGAAAAACACTATTTTATTCAGAGAATATTTTTCCAGTAGTGGAGATCGAACCCACAACCTCTGGTGCAGAAGCAGGTACACTACCCTATGCTATCCGGGTCGTCGGTGTGCTCGTGCATCGTAAAAGTTTTACTCTCATAATTTTTTCCAAACTTCGCAATGAAGTTTAACTTCAAAAATATTAAGTGATCGAAGTGCGCTCCGTCCGCTACGCTGTCATTTGACTACCGCCGTAAACAAGAGATTTCGCCCGGTTTCTGAAACACTGAGGTTTTTCTAGTGTCTGCATGTTTATATAATATATGTATAATATGTATTTTTTTACAAAAGAAAAGTAAGTTTAAGTATGTTTATCAGTTATCTAGTGCCCATAGTACAAGCGTTGCTTAGTTTGGGACTAGAGAACGTTGTGTAAACATGTGTCCTAAAAATATTTATTATTAAAATAAGAATATTTATAGCACTTGTCTATATCATTGTCTATTATTGCCATACGGGGACTTACTGACTACTGTGAATGGTACTTTTGTTCGATACTCCGCTTTCTCAAACAGTCACTTTGCACATTGCACTCAATGAAGTAAGTAGTAGAGTTCATAATTGTCTAATAGTCCGATTATTTTTAGGGTACGGTCATCCCAATCTTATTTAAAATTCAAAGTGATAACAATTATCTGCGAGTTTTTGAGTAAAACAATTTTTGTGTGCTTTAATAATGAAGATAATAGTGTACTATAATTTTTTGTCAAATACTGTCCTTTTAGCAACTCAAATGAGATTTGAAAAGCCATTTGAAAGCAGATTAGTTAATTTCTACGATGATCAGTGTTTCAGAAACCGTGCATGAGAATCGCCGAGGGTACGACGCGATCCCTGATAAAGCCCTGATTTGAAGTTTTAAACTTCAGCTTGGACCGCAATTAATGGTGAAACCCATCCATAAGGAATCATCCAGTAGAAATTGCGATTAAATCGTGAGAAATGAGACTAACACGAGTTGATGAAGTTATGGCTTAACAAAAACAATTTATTTACGAAAAAAATTATGAATGAAGATTTATGAATATTAACGGAAAAATCAGTTGACACATCAAAAAGTCCCGTACAAAACTACGTCACTGTATATTAGACGCAGACTCGGTATAAAGTAACATTATCAACACGACGTAAGCGATTCAAAGGTGGATATTGTATACAGACTGCATTTCGCAGAATACATAAACCGTGTGAATGTGAATGCGAGATAGTTTTATTAGCTTTAAATCTTCATGAATCATTCTAAAGTCTAAAATTTTAATGAATACGCCAATGAACACTGTTAATTCTTAAACACTGTTAGTTAATATTCAGTGTTTTTATCATTTGATTAGAAATTGCCTGAAAACTATGGAGCGGTTTTTAAGGCTTCTAACGATGTTCACATTGCCCTATGAAGTGACGTGTGTTCCGGGAGAGAGTCCGTTAGTGACATGTACGTTGATTCCAATATTTATCAAAACTAGAGAGGAACTTAATATGAATTTTATATAAAATTCTTGTACATTTCCTATTAATCATTTATATTTATGTCTATTAAAATCCATTTAAAATTTTTAGAATGTATAATGCATTACAAATAAATAATTACATAATTTCTGCATTCATCATTTTTAATGTTGCTTGCAATAAAAACTTCCTTTTTTCCTTTAGTGTAGCAAACTTCCCTAGACTTTCAAACCAAGTTGAAAGGTGGAAACTTAACAAGCTGTCAAAATAAATCGTGTCTTGAAATAAATAAATTCCTTTTTTTGTATATTGTGGTCATAAGAAAATGATTAAATTATTTTCCCTAAAGCAACAAAAAAAAGATGAAGAGGGTTCTGCAAGAGCTGGAGGTTCACAAAAAAAGGCATCCGCAGCACAATTGCGAATCACCAAGGGTGAGATAGGTTTAAAAGATAATTATTTATTTAAGTGGACAAAAGTATTTCTATTAATTATTAAAAATTGCTGTATATTTTCTCAGCTACTTGCTTGCGTCACATGTAACATATGATAATATTTTTTTAGATTTGAATGAACTGAATCTGCCTAAAACATGTAATACAGAATTCCCAGATCCTGATGATTTGCTTAATTTTAAACTAATAATATGCCCTGATGAAGGATTCTATAGAGGAGGACGATTTGTTTTTAGTTTTAAGGTAAGAAGACTTAGTACCTATACCCATTTTAAAAATGTTAACTGTAATATATTTTTGTTTTTATTTTTTGTGATAAAGTGGCAAATGAGCTGGCAGTTCACCTGATGTTAAGTGACAACCGCCACCCACGGACTTTTGCAACACCCATACGGTTGCGAATGTTTGGCAACACAATTATATACTATGGGTTAAATAAAGTGGGCTCCAGCTACCTCACTCATCAGAGGAAACACAGAAGTGTAATACTTCTACATTACGCCGGTCTTCTGTGAGGTTGTGGTACTTACCGGATGGATCTGCCCATTCGTACAACAGTGAACACTGTGCCCTACTTCAGTTGAGAGAAATAAATTAAATAAACTAAAGAATTTTTAGAATAATTATTAGAAAAAAGAAAGAAATTAAATTTCTTTCTGAAAAGATATTATTTTTATATTTTGTATAATACTAATATTTTTCCTTCCTTCTTATTTTCTACTCGTTCAGTATATTGACATATAAAATGTACCTAAATTTAATTGATTTCAAAGTAACTACTTTTATCAAAGCTACTTCCGACCTATATGAAAAATGTTATTAAAAGAACTGATATTCATAGAATGAAATTTTCATTTATTTTACAAAGGTTTTAATATAATTGTGCTTTTTAGCGCTTATTCAAAACTCTCACACATATGTTACTCTTTTATGTATAGGATATAATCTTCCAGTTTAAATTTTAACCAATTTCCTTGAATTGAACACAAACATGTGAAGAACCGGTGAAATTACACAAGTTTAATAAACAAATGCAAAATTATCTAATTCATTTGTCATGATTTCAATCATCGTAAAAAAGCATTCTAAGCATTCTAAAAGAAGCAGTAATGTCGTGATAAATTATTGTCTTGTAATGTCATAATGTAAAGAAATTTATATTTTTTTTAATGCTGAAATAACAATCTATAATACAAGCTGTTTCTTAGTTTATTTATTACAATAAATTTATCATTATCACAATGTTTGTTATACTTCATATTTTATTTTATCTTTGAAAAGTATTACAAACTAGCTCACATCTTTTAAACCTTACTAATTTAGTGTAAAGGTAGATATAGAAAATTTATACCATGGTTAACAATAGAATTTTATTACTTACTCGTCTTAGCCACTTAATACAGGCATGATTTTCCTTACAGGTAGGTCCCAACTACCCTCATGAACCACCTAAAGTAAAATGTGAAACAGCAGTTTACCATCCTAATATAGACTTGGAAGGAAATGTGTGTCTCAATATACTGAGGGAAGACTGGAAACCAGTGCTAACAGTGAACTCTATAGTTTATGGACTACAATATCTGTTTTTGGTGAGCCTTTCATTTTAACATTTTACTTATTAGCCATTAAAACCCCGTTTTACATTTCATTGCCTAATAAAATATACCTTGGGTGTCTCAAGCATACTGCATGATTCATATTGGGTCTTTAGTTAGTGAGTGATTAGAGTGAAGGCTATCTATCCACATAAGTGAGAATAGTATGTTATGGATTACTTCCTAACCCATTAGAGATGGTCACGATAAAGGATTAAGTAGGAAGAAAGGCCACAAATTTCTTCTCAAGGAGCAAGATATTTATAGTTTTTCTAGTCTTTGTCTTTGTTACGCTAACACAGCATAACACAACATTGCTTCAGGTGCCATTTACAAACAATTAAGTGGAAACAATTTGAAACATTTCGTTAGCTACCGGAATGGAAAGAGCATATTATAAAATAAACTACATTGAGGACAGGGATGTGTTGAAATGACTCTTGCTCTGTAGTTGCAAGTGGCTGCTGCTTATTTTCTACTAAAATACTTTTGCGTACTTACGTAATTCTAAAAGTCTCAGTTTGAAGAGACATCTTATATAGTAGTATAGGAGTTCTATATCTTTTGAGTAATTTTTAAAGGGACATTTAATATTTTATATTAAATTTTGTTTAAAGTTATACATTTGGTTATTGTAGGAACCAAATCCTGAAGACCCTCTAAATAAGGAAGCGGCAGATGAGCTCCAGAGCAACCGAAGATTGTTCGAACAACACGTGCAGAGAGCTATGCGTGGCGGTTACGTTGGAGCTTCGTACTTCGAACGGTGTCTCAAGTGAACTAACTCTCGACTGTAAATTAATGTCCCCCCACTCAGTAAAAATAAATAAACAATCTCAATTAGGTCTTGTAATTTATTGTGAATTCAATTTTATTCATTAAATTCTACATAAATATTGCTACTGTCTGTGGCACCACCTCATTTTAATAGTTAAAACTATTTTTTATAAAGAACTAGCTGACGCAGCAAACTTTGTTTTGCCAAATAAATTATTTCTAGTGAAGAGTGAAGATTGACAAAAATCCGAAAGAGTTTTCGAAACGCACGCATATTGTTTGACAGGTTATACAGATATAGTTGACAGGTTCAGTTTGTATGGAAAAATAAAATTGTTGCTATTTCGATTTTCTAAGCAATTTTTACCGGAATACATGCAAGATAAGGCAGTTTGCTTCATTTTTAATAGAAAATGGTAATAAAAATTTATTTACTAAGTTGGGTAAATCATTGAGAAAAAAAATAGGCCGAGAAAGGAGCCTTGCGGAACGCCCATTGATATCCTCCACCTAGAAGAACTAGCACCGTTAATTACAACTTTTTGAATTCTTTTACAGAAATATGAGTTAATCAAGTCAAGCACGGTATTTTTAATACCATAATGGCGTAATTTCCTGGATAAGTGTCATGATTGACGCAATCAAAATCATTGGAAAAATCACAAAAAACTATCAGAGCACCTGTACACTCTCCCAAGCATCAAATATATTTGATCAGTTCTACACCAGCATCGGTTGTAGAACGACCCCTTGTAAAACCAAACTGATGGTTGTGTAATAATTAGTTTAAATTAAAATGTCTTAAAGCTAATCGAGAATAAGTTTTTCGAATATTTTACTAAGAGTTGGTAGAATAGAAATAGGTCTAAAGTTAATGGGGTCAGAAGAATTACCGGATTTAAAGATATGGCCCGATCAAAAGATATGGGCAAATTTAGATTTTCGCGAAAACTTGTAACTACCAAAATGACGAAAAACGGGAACTACCATATAGGTTTTCGACCAAAAACCTATAGGCTAGGCTACCCTAAGATTGTAAATTTTGGTTAAAATAAAGGTCTTATAGAACAAGTAAAGGGAAAATTCCGAAAAGTAAAAAACAATTGAAAATTAAGATATATTTAAAAAATATGAAAATCTAAATTTGCATATATCTTTTAATCGTGTTGACTCTTTGATTTTTATACACCTTAAAGGTACTATAGACCGCAGTATCTGGTACAAATTTCAACTTTCTAGGTCCTCCCGTTACTGAGAAAATCAGTGGTGACGCACGGACAGACAGACGAACAAGAGCGTGATCTTATTAAGGGTTATTTTATTACCTTTCAGGGTACGGCTATTTACCCTTAAAAATCTATGATATCCTGTTTCAGTCAATAAAGAGTTTAGTTGACTTTTAAGATCAGTAGTGGTCAATGTTTTCTACGATTTAAGCAATTTAATAAAAATATTTATACAGCTTGGATATGGTAATATAACAAATCACAACAATGCCTTTATAATAAAACTTCATTTATGTATATTTATTGCACTTGGGAGTCGCAGCACAACGCTTGTAATATTTTTCTCTGGCACACATCAACGAATCTCCTCATATCTTCTAATTACACACTTTTGTAATTTATAAAGCTTGAAGTGAGCAGCGACCAGTAAGTGGCGGGCGGCGACCCGCGACCGACCGTGTGTAGTAGGGATGGATTGTACTTGCTAAATCGCGTACCAGGTCTTAAAAGTACTTCCACCTTCTCATACCAGGTATCAAAATATTTTCAAAGATTTTCTGTCCAACGCAACGAGTAAAATATTTGTTTCCTTGCAAGTTTAAACCTTATAACTGTACGAATAAGACAAAATATTCCAATCAAGACGTAAAATACTTTAATTTTTTTTTATTTCACGTATAAGCGCAATCTGAACCTTATATGTATGAACATAAGTTATCTAATCAAGTGAGAGAGAGGCACCAGGCGAGACCGACATACATTGCTTCGCCATAGCACGGCGCACAGGGATGCCAGCTTAGGAGTTTTCTTCCTAAATTTAGGAATAAAAAATGTGGAATGGAAGTTTTTTGGAAATTTTTTTTTTAAATTTGGAAAAATTTGGAAATTTCTTCACATTTTGGAATAAAACTATACAAAACTACTTTTTTTAAAAAATCTAATTAAATTTTACAGTGCTGTGTTGCTTTGGACGACGTCAGGCCAATTCCTATGTGTCTGGTATGAATATTTTATGTATTCTAATTATTTTTTTAACATTGTTTTGATTTTATTCTTAACATATTCATTTCAAATGAATTATATTTCATTTGATGTTCTTGACTATTTTGAATGAAATGGTTTATTTTATCAGATAAATATTTTGCCTTTACCTATAAGATAAAAAAACTCGTGATTTTAAATTTAGAAATTTTTGTTTGAATTTAATAAATTTTTGTGCGTTTTCGAATTGCTTTATTATTTTTTTAACAATTGGTAACACCTAATTATATATATATATATATATATATATATATATATATATATATATATATATATATATATATATATATAATCGGTGTGTGTTGCTAGTGATGACCTATGGAACCGAGACGTGGTCCTTCACTGCTGGCCGTATGAGGAAGCTCAAAGTCGCTCAGCGAGCTATGGAGCGGGCTATGCTCGGTATTTCTCTGCGTGATAGAGTTCGTAACGAAGACACCCGCAGTAGAACTAAGATAACCTACATAGCTCAGAGGATTAGCAAGCTGAAGTGGCGATGGGCCGGCCATATAGCTCGTAGAGCCGATAACCGTTGGGGAAGAAAGGTTCTCGAGTGGCAGCCTCGTACTGGCCATCGCAGTGTAAGACGACCCCCCACTAGATGGAGTGACGACCTGTGCAAATGTGCGGGAAGTCGATGGATGCAGGTGACTCAGGATCGTACTTCATGGCAGTCTATGGGGGAGGCCTATGTTCAGCAGTCGACTCAAATGATGGCTGAAATGATGATGATGATGAATCGGAATCTCGGAAACGGCTCCAGCGATTTGCATGAAATTTAGTATGTGCGTAGATTCGTGGGCGAAAAATCGATCTAGCTAGGTTTCATTTTTATATTCTATTTTCAGGGAATAAAAAATATCATTCGAATACGACAGTAAATTTCCACGCAAAAAAAAAAATTATAATCGCTCGGTCGGTAATCGGGCGGCCCCAAAACAGACGGCCGCGGTTCGTATCACGAACATTTACACAGTTATTTTTTTTACTTTTGTTTTATACTAGATAATTTTTTTATGTTTTATTGCCAAATTACATGATTTACAAAAAAAAACTGAGCAAAGCTCGGTCCTCCAGGTAATCTTTTTTAAATCTACCACCGTTTCGTAATGAAGTTCCTCTAGCAGAGAAGAAACAGGCAAAAGAAACTCCGTAGGTATCCTCTTTTTTGTAATTAGTTTTTTTTTTTAAATATATTATACAACTGATTTTATTACAACTGATTTCTTTCCTTTTTTATATAGCTTGGGAACGATCAACTCATTCCCAGTGGTTATTGTCATTAATGTATTCATTTGTATTATAATAACCCTTTTTATAAAGTTTTTCTTTAATAAATTTCTTAAACCTGTTAATAGGCAGATTTTACGCATTTACTGAGATTATGTTGTAAAAGCGTATTCACCGCCCCATGAACGAGTTACTTACTCTATGGAGTCTAGTAACTGGAGTTACAAGCTTGTGTTTATTCCTAGTGTTTGCATTATGCACATCAGTATTCTTTTTTAAATTTTTTTTTTAATTAAAAAACTGCCTAGTACTTGACTGCCATCCCACCTGATGGTAAGAGGCGATGCAGCCGTTGATGGTAAGCGCGCTAGCTGAGTAGAAACCTATTCACTCTTGCCTTGAAGACGCCAACGTTGTGTGGACGGAAAGACGGACGCCGGCAGGCTATTCCTTAGCTGTACGGATGATATATGAAGAAGCGAATCGCTTTGTTCTTGTACGTGGGACGTCGACAGCATAAGGATGGAGCCCCGCCGAACGCCTGGTTGTCCGATGATGGAAAGGGGCTTGGAGGAATAAGATCATGTAACTCCAACGCACACTCTCCAAAATGTATCCTGTAGAAAACCGAGAGGCTGGCGACTCTGCGCCTGTGCTCAAGGCTAGTGAGATTGGTTTTAACCAAGTTATGGTCACCAATGAGCCTTTCCGCACGCCTCTCCATTGAGTCCAAGGCAGCCAGATGGCATTTTGCAGCCCCAGCCCAGATATGGCAACAGTACTCCACACGCGATCGGACTTGAGCCTTGTATAGAGCAAGAAGCTGTCCCGGCGTGAAGTACCGTCGCACCTTTGCAAGGACGCCTAGCTTCCTTGCAGCTACCCTGGCTTTAGACTCAATTTTTATTAATATTTCTACGTACATACATAACATTTTCATATATATTGAGAGGCTAAGAGTAATATATTTATTTCTTTAAACTTCTCTCTCAAAGATGCATTCCAATCTAGATTATAAATACCTCTTATGGCCCTTTTTAGCAAAATAATCGGCCGCGTGCCCCCATAGCAAAATACCATATGACATTATGCTATGGAAGTAACTAAAATACACAATTCTAGCTGTTTTACATCAGTTAGGCATCTTATTTTCCTTATAGCATACGCTGCAGAACTTAGTCTATTTGGATACATGGGACCCTATTGTTGCTTTGCATCGAGAGTTATTCCAAGAAGGACAGTCGTATCCACAAGGCCTAACTCCCCCCATTTATAAGTTCATTGGTAGCACCCAAATGTGCAACATTAGGTATTGAAAATTTAATACATTTAGTTTTATTACCATTTAATAGTAAATTGTAAGTATTCAACCAATAGACTATATCTGACATAGCATTATTTACCTCGTCAAGTGTAACAAGCTGTCGATCGATTTTAAAAATTAATGAAGTATCATCGGTAAATAACACTATATCGTGTTTATTCCCTACAAAGTAAGGTTCATTAATGTAAATGAGAAAGAGAAATGGGCCGAGATTCAAGCCCTGCGGAACGCCCATAGATACCGTCTAATCAGAAGAACTAGCACCATTAATTACAACTTTTTGAATTCTTTTAGATAAATATGACTTAATGAGGTCAAGCGCGGTAGTTCTAATGCCATAATGGCGCAATTTCCTGATCAGTGTTTCATGATTCACGCAATCGAAAACCTTGGAAAGATCACAAGCCTAAAATATATGTTTGATCAGCTCTACACCAGCATCGGTTGTAGCATGCAATGAAGTTGTATACAGCGTGTTTACCATCGTGACAATAAATGAACACACATATAGAGGATAACTTTTTAAAATTGTATTAAAGATTTACATTCTTTAAACATCAATATTAAACGAGTTATCAAATTTTCCAAAACAAAGAATTTTAGAACATCCTTACGTATAAAACTTTAATGTAAAGTTCATTTGTAAAGGTCACAAAGCATATGAATGGGTTGAATGAATTTAAAAGAGACAAAATATACTGTTAGAAGGAGAGGATTGTAATGCGGCGCTGTGACAACGAATGAAAAAGTCTCTGAGTTTTGAATAATTCAGATGTCGTTGTATAGGATGTTACAAATTTTGTTTCTTTTCTACTTAATTAGTTTGTTTGAAAATTATATTTTTTTAATTATGGATTTTTTTAACGTTTACAATTTTTTATGATTATTGTCAAGTAGCGTTAAACGCGTGTTCATTTATTGTCGCGGTGGTAAAGACACGCTGTATTTATTTTACAATTAATGACTACCACAGTTGTCTTTATTCTATTGAAAGGTAAATTTCCAGTTAAAAAACGTATCCTGAGCATGAACAAACTAATTTGAAAGGCATTTTTTGTTTTGTGATAACATGGGAAATTATGTGATGCATTAATGGAAATAATTTACGTCTCATCATAGCACCTGATGTATAGCTACCATGATGACGTTAATGAAAATCTTGTTGGTGTCTTATTATTGCTAGCAGACGAGGCAGAATCGAAATAATTTGATATAAGTTTAACTGTTAACTCCACCCACAATTTTTTTATTGCTTATAGTCGTTGGAAATGAACATGATATAAATCGCGCTTTTTTATTTTTATTACAGCGATATTTTGGTGTTAAGGCTATTAAATGTTACAGAAGCTAAAATTAGGCTACTCAAACTTGAAAAAATGGTGACATCAGGTCCTCATTGTTGGCAACATTGACCGCGTGGTGAGTCAGTCGGTCGGTACTCGATGTAATTGTAGTGAATGTAGTAGATATTGGTGGTTAGCAGTTGGAACAAGTGACGCGTCAGTCAGTGTTCATTCAGTGATCTCAAGAACGCCAAACGCTTCGTGCGCTTCCACGTTGTTAGTTGTTACGCTTTCTCCGCTCGTATAAAAGGCAGAGCTGTTTCGACACGCTACTCGGTTGCGAAAGTTTGCGCGATGATATACAAATGAGAGCCACCATCTGACGCCAGGGTAACGCTCATCGCGCACGGTGAGCCAGTTTGTTCAACGAGAGACATTCGAAACTCGCCAGCTGTGAGGGACGGGGGGCGCGCGACGCCGTCGGGTCACACACGCGGGAGCAACGATTCATAACACATACTTATTTGAGAGTGCAACGGAAACCAATTTTTAATGTGTCAAGTCAGTATAGCTTATTGCTGCTACGTCAGATCGCAGAACGCTTCGAGCAAGAACTACAAGGTTATGCAAATGAGTTCTGAACGCTTCTATACCAGGGGTAATCTAAAGACCATTCACAACTTTAATAAACTTTAACGTTTACGTTCTTCGTACGGTGTTTTAAGTGCTTATCTATATCGTTTTCCTGTCCTTCCATTATCGTCGGTGTCGCGATCGCTAATTGCTAATTACTTGGAATCAAGTGATAACAGTATTTGCGAAGTAAAAGTGGTGAGTGCATCTCGAAGCTTCACCAGGTGTAGACGATGGCGGCCCCGCAAGACGAGACGTTGCTGTCGCGCTGCGAAGTCCCCATCATTGACCTGGCTCACATAGGTAAATATAATAATTCTGCACAAATAATCACGCAAAACTTGAAGTTCTTTAAACCTAACGGTTTATCCTGTCTACGCTTTGAATATAAGTATAAGTACAAAGGAACGGAAATTCGTTTACCTGCGCCCATCCCCAATTATAGGTACCTACCTAGTTGAACAAGTTTGCCTGTGAATCGACGACAGCTGTGCATGTGGATAATATTTGAAAGATTTTTTACATCTTGCTACCTACTACATCAATGAAAATAAGCAATTGCAAGGTGAAGAGAGAATCTTAATTCACATGGGTCTGGAATAACAATCTCACTGGGCTAATAACTATATATGTATATATATATTTTTTTTAATAATACATAAAATGATATAAATGTAAGCAAGCCAAAAATAATTTCACGAAAGTAAAGTGCATAATTTATTACGTGAATAAATTTTTTAAGAATCTTTTTAAAAGAAACCGGAACTTTTAGTAAGATAAACTTAAACTAAAAACAAATTCACAAACGATCAATCAAAATGATAAACACTGATAAACGTATATGTAACGATACTGTGAAAAGAATTAAGATTATTATTTCGATAAAATAAAAATAATAGACAATCAGCTAAGTTTTCATTATAATTTTATGCACGAATAAAACAAAATATGCGCGCTATTAAATACAATATAAAGATTTAGCATTAATACGGATGAGACACAAAAAGTAGTTTAATATGAAGGGCAATGGCCGACCGATCCTTCGCGGCTCCCGGTTTTCTAAATACGCACCGTACCATGGCGACCCAATCGCTTCTAATAAACTCCTGATTCTTACGTGTCATGTAAGCAGGTGTCAATAACTTTTTTACATCAAGTATAGATAATTTCGCGACAAATTACGATCTTAATGAAATGTTTATCGCATCCATCAGCGTTCATTTGTCTTTGGAAAACAATTTACCTAGACGTTAAGCTTGCATGTATAATAATAAATCAGTCTAAACTAGAAACTATAACTTCATCAATGAGATATTTTAATATCTCTCGTCATCAAGTTGTAAACAAACTATAAATATTTCAGTACATATATTACTTTCCAGTTTATGATCCAGTTCGAACATCACGAATAATTCTTCGATTTTCGACTTTATTATATCTTTCGCAACGAGTTCTATTGTCTTGGCGGAACTAGTAACGTAATCAGTTCAATGATCTATATTTGACTATATACATTGTAAAGATCAACTGCATTTTATTAATTTTTCAGAAAATATATCACGCCAGCTTGCTTTATCGCCTCGAAATTAATCGATTTAGATATAGTCTCAAAATTCAACTTTGTTTCATTAATAAAAGCGTGGCACGGCAGCGACGAATTCACAATTAGCCGAGCAGTATTTATTAATAGAGATGGAAGCAAAAATTGTTACTTCGTCACCAGACGAGAAGCGACAACGTATGCCGTTACTTCCACGAAACTGTTACACGTTTATTTTTCGTTTAATCTGTTCGCCTCGTATCAGATGACAACAAAGTCGGTTAGTCGGTCGTTAAAGTTAGACTTTCGTCTTGCAGCGCCGTGACTAACAGACGTTTCGGGTAAAGTAATCTTGACTGACTAACTCGCGACAACTTTGAATGAAAAATATTAATATAAAGTGTAATAAACCCTATTTATTAGACTTATTTACCTAGCTATTTTATTCTATGTAGAATAATCAGAAGCTAGATTCTTTACCTTGCTAAAATCCAATAATAATAATAATAATAACATCAAACTTAATTCGTATTTATAAATAAAAAGTAACCAACAAATTTAAAGTATTATTATAAATGTCATTTTAGATTTTTTTCTAATTTATGTAGGTACAAATTGTGCATGGTCATTTGAAAAAATTCCAAGAAATGCTCATATTCGGTATCAAACGAATACACAAGGACATTGCTAATTGTGTTGAAGCGTGGCATTAAATTTATTTTAACGCATTAAGAAGCCTCTTAAAAAAACTAGTGAGACTGAAACATAAAATGTGCTCGTTTTTCTGAAAACGTTCCTTATCCGTATGTAAAAGTTGTCAGACAAATTAACACAACATACTTGTTGTACCGATTTTAAATTTAATTTAAATTATTGCAGAGGGTAATTTTTCCATTTTTTTTAATAAAAAAACCCGTTTATGTGTAAAATTTTACTAACCAAATGAGAATATAAAGTATTAATAAATGATAATTCCATGTCACATTATTCCTATTTTAACACGTGACATTAAGTACGTCAGTCATTATCAATTTCGTGGTTTCATTATTAATATTTCATCTTAAGTGCAGAAATTAGTATTATACAAATTTAAATTTCTCAAAATTTTTAAATTTTAAAGTCTCTCATTTGAATTGTCGTTGTAAAACGAAATTTTTATTATTATTTTGTCGCCAAGCATTGCTTGAAATGCGAAAAACAATGTTGTGATTTAAAAGACGCCCTTTAGCTTTTCGAACTTTTTTCTACAAATTTTAATATTTCTAAAACTTTTAAGTACCTAGGCATAAATACCTATTTAGTTTGTAAAATTTTTTTCGTTTTCAATTGTTTTTAATTACATTCTATGAAGTACAGACACGAAAACATTGTAAACATTATTCATACGATAATATACAAGATAATTTATTGGACTTCCCTGTGACTTCACTGTAATGTATTTAATGGGCCGCGTCATAGTGAAGTACCTAAAATAAATTAGCAGTTCTAAATTGTAAATTAATGTACTTTAGCAAACTTCGCAGAAATAACGAGTAGATATTGGAAATTAATTAAACTTGTTTGCGTATAGTTTTATGCGATAAATGTTGAAAGGAAAGGCTACTTAATTCGTTTATATATTTATATATATGTAATAAAATAAAACTTAATCCTTGATGACCTTATAAAGTCTTGTGCTGAATATGTTATTGAACGCCCGAATTTCTTCAATTGTCTCTATAAGTAGAAACAAAATGAAAAGAACCTTACCTTACCGGCAACTTTGTGTCACCTTCATGGTTCGTATGACGTATATTTATACAAATGCTGTGTACCAATTCACGCGAATATCTTTGACGGCATGTATTGTAGCAGAAGTTTACGTTTCAACTTGGACTCGATATAATTGCACGATGACTCCGTTCTCGGAAGCCGTTGTGCGTAATTAAGTCGTAGGAAAACTCCTAACTTTCCTAACTCCTAACTGCCGTCGTCCCACGATTAATGCCCGGTTCCTATATTCAACGAGCGACCGTTAGTTACGTAGATTCGTAACTTTCACAACGACTTGTAGATTAAAGGAACGGTAGTAACTCACTTTTCGTATGTAATGTAACGGCTCGTAAGGAAAACACCTCGTTTTGTTAATATAGGAACCGGGTGTACACGCAAGTCGTTATGAAACTTACGAAACTATTTTAACGAAGCTATTTTACTAACGACCGTTCGTTCAATATAGGAACCGGTCATAAATAGTTCATTATATGTGTCCCTATTACAGTATCCCTTTAGTATCTTGATAAAGCTAATGGCGTATGACTTTCGGACACTTTTTTATCACTATCAGCTACATAAAGATATATTGAGTGTTATTTATCACTTGCGTTTATGTATATGATGAATCCGGGAAAAAATGGTGATATCATCTTGTAGGCATATGTTATGTAGAGTACTATAATCGGGAAGGTATGTTTGCAAAACTGTTTTGCGAATCCTTATAAGAAACTACGGTTGCGAACACAACCATGTAAGAAGTATGTTAATGCTTGATATCACACCGCCTGGATTGTTCCTAACAATTGTCCTCATCTAAAATGCTGCGTCCTACTCACTGGCCATTGTACTCCGCAACAATCCGATGCCTTACCATTTGTGTAAACCAAATTTGCCACGATTGTTCACATTTGCTTTTACGTCAAAGGTCTGTTAAAATAATTGTTCTTTATTGATGCGTATCCAATTCCAGCATGTTCACGGACATGTTGAAGTCTATGTAAAAACTATACTTATTACTGTAATTATTAATACTTTATATAAAAGCACATATAAAGTATTAATAATTACAATAATAGTCGCTGATGTATAATAGGTATACGTTACCTGATTTTTTATTTCATCAATTTTATCATTTGCTAACTTGACTGTGACCAGTATTTTTAACCATTTGAAAACCCTTACATTTTCTAAGCATAAATAATAATTACCCGAACAACAAGCTTGGTACTCTTCTTTTTAACCATATTGTGTCCACAGAGGGGTGTAAAATTTCGCATACTTAATTTTTTTGTGGAGAAAGAATGAAAATATTAATAATTTATATGTGCTACGAGTTACAAATATGATAAACATTCACTGTTTACTAAACTGTAGTTAAACAATTGCAGAGAGATGGATGCCAAATAATTTTAAAATTTAACATTGACTGAAGTATTTTCGGGATGTAGAGAAATATATTTCGCAATATAATTTCCTTAAACAAAAAACGCGAAAAAGTTTTCATTATACAGCGTGTCGTTACCATCGCGACAATAAATGAACACACGTCTAACGCTACTTGCCAATAATCATAAAAAAAATTTTAACGTTAAACAAAATCCATAATAAAAAAAATTTTTTTTCAAACAAACTAATTAAGTAAAAAAGAAACAAAATTTGTAACATGCTATACAACTCGCGCCACAGCGTCGCATTACAAGCCTCTCCTTCTAACAGTATGTTTTGTCTCTTTTAAATTCATTCAACCCATTCATATGCTTTGTGACCTTTACAAATGAACTTTACGTTATAGTTTTATACGTAAGGGTGTTCTAAAATTTTTTGTTTTGGAAAATTTAATAACTCGGTAAATATTGATGTTTAAAGAATGTAAATGTTTAATACAATTTTAAAAAGTTATCCTCTATATGTGTGTTCATTTATTGTCGCGGTGGTAACGACACACTGTATATTTAGTTACCTTAATAACATGTTATACATTTTATAAATTTGAATCGGTGGACATGAA